TATTTTACATGAGAGTTTTGTTTACAGCAGTAAAACAATTAGCAAGGCTTAACCCTTTCCTATTCAGTCGTTCGTTCGAGCTCACCTGTTTGATATCATCCACATGCCCACAAACACAGGTTTTCACGTTCAGTACCACGGAAGTGCATCAGCCCCATGGCAGCAGATCAGGGAAACATAGAGGGAAGTGGTGCATTCCTCCGTTTCCTCTGCCTTTTATGATGTTCCTCCAGAGCAATGCTGCACGAAACAAAACATCTTTACCTGATGATGACAAAAGGATCTTAGCGAATGGGCTGTTGCAGATCTGAAAGCGTGCCACTATCACGGGAAAAAATATCCACATCTGATTGCACGCTTGATGGCTCCGGGGGACTAAATATGACCCCATTTCTGTCCATCTCCTGAGCTCTGGGAGGGAAACCTTAGGCAGCTAAGATCACACAGACATTCATTCACATTTTAGGGTCACTGTGATCTCTTAAAGTGAATGTGATCCCAGGAAACAGCAGAGGAAGAGCAGCTGCAGTGTTAACAGGCAGTGATTCCCAAAGACAACAACTTGTGCTAGTCACAATTAACATTTACCATAATTATTTACCCAAATTTTATTGGAGCAATTTTTCTTTAGCAAAAGTAAGTGTTAATTTCTCAACCTAGGTACCTTACTATGTAAATTATATTAAGATCCACAAAGTTGCCAAAGGTGAAATAAGGATTAAATAGTTAAATATATTAATTCAAGATATAATATTTATGGTTTTATTGAGCAGAGGTAACTAGGTCATGGCAATAGGCTTTTTCTTTTCTTTTTTTTTCCTAATACTTCTACCACATAGTGATGGCTTTATCAAAATTATTTTCTTTGGGGATGAAAACTCAGCATCAGTACTAAAAAACCAGATCGCTTAGTTTTGGTCATTGCTCAATGCTACATTTATTTTTTTTACTTTGTTTTAAAAGGCTGATAAGGAGCAAAGAAGCACTGATGCTCACAGCAACTTGCAGCTGTTAGCTTCGGCAGGGACTGGGAATCACAACTCACATTTTTATCTAAAGGCAGGAGAAACTAGAGAACATTTTACTAACATTCTCATGCCAAGAGAACGTTAGTCACTGCCAAGTTTAAAAAGATGACTTTGACACTTTGAAAAACCTGTCCTACAATTTACTTTCACACCTGTACAATAATCTCATGAAGCAACTCCTGCTTTCTTGTATAAGCAACATGTTTTGTGTCCTACAGTTTCCACTGTAAGTACTCACTGTTCACTGTAATTTAGTGGGTTTTTCAAATTATACCTCAAAATGTATCTATAACACAGTTTACATCTAAATTAACATTATATAATAACATTGACAAAAAATTTCTACATAAAACTAATTTTATTTATCTGCTCATAACCACTGAACACAGTAAACATAAAAAAAATACTGTGAAACATCACTATGGTCACAGATACCATTAAAACAGCTATAAAAAGGAGCGAAAGGCAAAGTTTCTTGAGTGCAACCACTAAAACAGGGTCTGGACTTACAAAGCATTCAAGGGGGACAGCTTTTAGGATGACTTGCTAGTTCCCAATTTTTGCCTGTTGTTCCCCCCATTTCGCTGCCATGTTTACAGTGTAGTTGGTAACAGATTATATTAACTTGAAACTATCTTTGATTTAGTTTTCTTGTTCTATGAAATGCAAATTAATCTCTTCCCTTCTGGTATCTATGTGCTCTGTCAATAGGAACTAGCACTTCAAGGGAAGTGATTTATGCATGCACAGCATCGGGGTTCTCTTCCTATCATGCATACATGACTGGCCTCAGTTCCAGCAAGAAAATGACTAGGGAAACAAGCAGATTATTACAGACTTGAGACTTATGTTTCAGTTCATATTCTAAGGGGAATTTTCTAAAGAGAAAACTGTTTACTAAAATAAAACCAGATGAAGTTCTAGGGAAGCATGAAACTAAGGGGGGATAAGAGGGACTCTGTCACAATGCTTCCAAGGGGCAAAGGGTCTGTCTCATAAGTCTCAGGGCATTCATATCAAGTCTTTGTCAAGGTAAAAAAAAAAAAAACACCAAACCCAAAATAAACTCTAACATAGGAGAAAAGGACATGGATAATCTTCTGAATTGAAAACATTTTCCCAGGGCCAGATATCAAGCTCTAGAAGAGCACCCTAACTCCAGGCGTGCCTCATCAACTGGATTGTCAGAAGCACACAAATGCAAGAGCAGAGATCTCTACCCTCACCACAGGGAGGAATACGACTGCCATGCATTATATTTCAAATATGTTCAGAAAGGAAAGGCACACAGTATAATTTCAGGGTAATCATCTTCATTAGCCAGCTATAGGAGTCCGATAACACTTAATCAGGACCCCAATTGTAGGATGATGTTCTCACCACTAAAGGAAAAAAGTATGCTTAAAGGTAACTTCAGATGTGATTACAGGGAAGCCAGAGCCCTTTTCCTCATCCTCTGAGTTGTTTCCTCCATTACAGTACTTTTAATGTTTCCTTCTTTGTTCACAGGTACCTTTCCAGAGCTGGAGGGTAAGGGAGAGAGAGCAGACAAATTTTGATGACAAAACTTAAAAGTTCCCCAGTAATACCAAATCTACAGCAGATATTTTGAAGTTCTCCCTCTAAGGCAGTCCTCCTTCAGTGACCAGGATTTCCTACTACTACTTCCAGCATACTCCTGGAACAAAATTTTTTAATGCATCTTACTTGAAAACCAATAGCTAAAGGTTTTTTAACTCTTGCATACCACAGTTCAAAATAGAAAATGGAATGAAATAAAATTATTTGATACATCTTTTCAAAACTATGTCTATGCTGAAAGATTTATCTTGCATCTGGTGATGAAAAGCTGCTGCAAAATCTCTCCCCTTCAGCAGCAAACATGAGCTAAGATCTCAAGCCTTGCTTGAGGAATTGCCTTTACAAGTCATTAGTAAACAGCCTGAATTTTCCCCAAAGACACAAGAATGAAACCCAAACTTCTGTGTTTTCATAAAGTTTTTTTGCTCCTCTTGGACATGGTATCAACACTGTGCCACTTAATTTAAAGACAAACTTTTTCACCAGGAAAAACTATGTTCCCTCCCCGTGCACAGAGGGAAAAAAAATCTCTCTTCAAAGTATAGAAGAGATCATTGCAAAATATTAGCTCTGCCAGTACTAGCATAGTAATCCTCCTTCTCTAGTAAAGAAAGAGTGAAATGAGACCTATCACCAACTCACACAGAACACAAACAAAAGCTCTGTATTTTTCATAGAGCAGGGGATCATGCCCATAAGATTTTCTAGATAAATTGCTGGAAGGCATGACACCCTATACAGAAATACCTGGATTCCAGTTACAGAGATAAATTCTTACTCAAGGAATGAGAAGTGCTTAGTGCTAGTGCCAGGCAGAGGATCATAAATTACACTCTTATTACAGAGTTGCCAATCTGTCTAAATTGTACTCGAGTATTTAGTCAGTAGAGCAGAAGCCTGAGTCGTGATTAAAGGGATTCATGGTCAACATTTTTTCCTCCCTCTTCCGAGTCTTTTTACTGTGTCTCTTAAAATTTGCTTATACTTTCTTATATGCTTCCTCTGGCTTGTAAATATCTCTTTTATGCATAAATCCTTACAATAAATAATTATCACATTTAGAAACAATACAGGCATGACACAGAGGATCACTTGTTTCTTGATAGGCACAAAAGCCTCAAAAAATCACAGCTAAGCAGTAAGCTATTATTCAGGCTAGGATTGCACACACAAACATGGCTTGCATTGGGCAGGAAATCAATACATAGAATATAGTTCAAAGCCCACCTCCCCCAAAGGTTCAGATGAAGAAAGAACAGGCCTAAAAGGGAAAGGCTGCGGCTTGACATGGAAATAGACCTCAGGTTGGCAACAGGCCAACTCACTAGGAATTCACTTAGAATAGCATCAGTGGCAAAGACTACTGTTTGTGTATGCTAATTAATATTAAGTATTCCCAATACAACTTTAGCAGCCCACTAGGCCTTTGTGCAGCAGGTACAAAAACCAATGTAGCTTTTCAGTGAAGAGTCGTCCTTACAACCTCAGGGTCCCAAAGAGCAGAGTCCTGCTAGTTTCTAGGTCTCTATCACTAACATCTTTTCTGGCGGATAAAATGAAGTTTATATTCCCCATCCCTCAAGGTGCTGGGCACTCACAACGTTGCAGGCAGCTGAAACAATAGGCATGGTTTGTACAGGGAGATGTGAATGCCACAGCCATACTTTGAAATTTGCTGAGTTTATTTGGTTGTCCAGTTGTGAATACCTGTGTCTCAGGACAAGCAGTGGCACGAACTGTTGCTGCTGACAAAATGGAGGTGGTGGGAGAGTAGGGGGACAAGGTGAAACTTCCCCTTTGGGCACCACTAAGCAGGGAAATCAGCCTAACCTGCCACTGGAGCCACAGCTCCAGTGAAATACACAACCAACATAACAGAAAGATATGGGTGGAGAGCTCCCCGTTTAGAGTTTCAATTCTGGAGTCATTCCAGGCCCAGCTCCTGCTCAAGGCAGGGCAATCTGTCATCAGAGAGCAGCAGCACGATGTAAAAGTTCAGCTGTTCCCTCTTCCCTTGATACACCAGCCGGACAGAGCTTCAGCCATTTTCAGGCTCTTTTCCCTTTTGTATCAGTCTGTCAGAGACTGAGCTCAAACCTTCAGCTTGGCACCTGCAGTATTAAAAAGAAAGCTTAGAAAGTGGCTTTCCTCACTCAGGAAGCCTTAATGACCTATACTACACCTCTGCATGACTGATGGCTTAAAATATGAGCACATGCAAATTGAATGTCAGCGTTGTTGGATAGGAAGCAATAACTGTTCAGAACACAGCACAATCCTTCTGGTGACAGCACCTCAGTGAAACCTCTGCCTAAGAACTCAGTGCTAGTATCTGAGAGTTAGTAATAGCTATGCACAGTTTGACACACTTCACTCAAATACACAGAAGAGTATAATCAAGAAGTGTAATCAGAAGAGTCCAATCAAAGTGAAAGAGGGGAACTGAAATAAATACAGTTCAAAACCTGCAAATAACACTAACAAATGACTCCTAGAACAAGCATAAACATTCACCACACTACAGAAAGTCATGCACATCTTGATACACAAGTTCTTTTTCTTAGTTTAAGTCATTTTACATTACACATTGCAAATGACCACTAGAGCTGAGCACAAACAATATGAGTCACAACCATATTCATTCTAAAAATTCTGACATCCTGTTTTATATAGATATTCAGGGATCTGAGCATCCACTCCAACCCTCATCCCTCCCCAGAACATTGTACTCCATCTGCCTGTTTTACAGAGTATGTTTGTGCAAGGGTTTTGTGGTAATATTCTTCGGATGAATAATAGTCCTCCTTTCCTTTGAGGTGATATCATGTTGTCTGCCCTGTTATTGTTTTAGGCTAAGGAAGAAAAACTGCCAGGACCATAGCAATGTATTGGAGAAAAGGCTTGTTTCTAAGTCATTTTACATTTGAGTCACATAAAATTCACAAGTTAAAGCAGAAGGACATTCCTAGAAGTCCTAACTCTTGCTTCAGGAAGTCATGCAGTCTTGCCTAGACCTTTTCCACAACATGCATAGTTTCTATGTGATTTTGGTTACTTCCAGTTGTCTTTTTAAGGCAAGTGCTAAACTTTGAAGTAAGGAGCTGAAAAATTCCGCTGAATTTAGGAAACTGCCACTGAGGAGGGCCAACAGTTCACAGGTTTCTGGTTTGTTTTGGGTTTTTTAAACTTCTTTAGGAAGCCATAACACAAACACATACACACTTATTTAAAGACCCAGATATTACTGGTTAACAAAGTTTGTGGTAACAAGAAGTTAGGATGAAAAAGAGTAGAAAAGGGAAAAGATTGGTGATTTACCTTTACGTAAATCAGTTCATGCAATACCGTTTGTGATACCTTGCATAGTACTATGCACCTTATCTCAAGTATAGTCTTATCAAGTGGTATGGGAAGAACAGATGAACACCATCAGAAATTTAAACACACAGAGAAACTTAGAAAAGCCTTAGAAAGTAAATTAAGGAGAGAACATAACAGTGTACTGAAGAAAGAAGGGTATAGAGCAGTTTACTACCTCCTGTTCTCTCCACCTCAAGAAGCTACAGAGCACTCAGCATCTCTCAGAAAGAAGAAAAAAAATTTTTCTCCACAGATTGCGTAGTTAGATTGCAAAACCTTTCATTAGAAGAAATTATTCAATATATGGTCAACAATACTCACTTATTCCAATTAACAAAAATGCTGACAGGGTTTTACATACCAAGGTGATCTCTAAATACATACGGTAGAGACGTGACTTGGGATAGGGCAGCTTACACACTAGGGCTTTCTCAAGTTTCACCCTGACCATCGGATACCGGTTACTCTTAAAGGAGACAGGATGTCAGAGAAGGTGAATGGGCAACTCTGCTCGATGATCCAGCTGTGGTATGATGGTGATGGAGCAGCTGACAGAGCCCTTGTGCGCTGCTTTCCTCAACGGCTGCGTTCCTCCTGCAGAACCAATCCATGTGCACTGCTAGAGATGCTGGAGTCATGGCTGCAGAGGCAGTTTCCAATCTTTTTCCAGGAACTTAAAAATTTCAAAATGCATTTAGAAGGCTGAAAGATTTCACGCTCGCTCTCCAAGAATAAATTATTCCTTAATGTAAATAGTTTTGGTAATTAGAAATACTAGCTTCGATGAGGGAAAAGGGGAAGCTTGGAAACTCAGATGGCTTTTTATTTTAAATAAACATATAAGGCACTTAGAAATACAGCCATATTGCAAGAAATTGCTAAACTTGATAGACAGTCAAAACACCAATCTTTCTGAAGCTCTGCACATGCTCAGCAAGCTGGATGAAGACATCCAGCACGTATACCACTGATTCTACTTTTACTTTTAGTCCTGGCTTCTCCTAAGCTTTATTTCAGATAACGAAGGCATTGTATTCAGCTGCTAAAAAGAAAGAGAAGAGCAGAAAGAATTCCTTAGCTATGGATGACTGCTACATATTTTACTTTTTTTCTTTGCTTCTGCATTAGGTGATCAGATAACTTTTAGTAACATTTTATATTCATAAAAGCTGAAATTTACAGCCTGCAGAAATATTTGAAAGCATCATATCTACAGAAGTTGTTAACAATAAAAAGTATTTTCCTAAATGTTACTTTCCCTCCCCAAATGATTTTCTAACATTAAAACATTTTATTATTTTTAAACATATTTTCAAATAATATAAGAATAGTATTTCCTATGGCTAACAGATTACCAAGATGGTTAATTATCACCAACTCTTTCTCATGCTTGAGGATTCTTATGCCAATAATCACTTCACTCAAGAATCCCACAAAGGCTCAGTGTCTTGCAAGCAGAGGCTTTCTACTCACATTGATAAACACAAGAAAAATAGCATTATACTAATTGCTAGCCTAACAGTACTTCCTTCCAACACTCCTGACCTGTGTAAAATTCCCACTCTTCTCTGAATGGTAACATGATTAAGGGTGTAACTGGAGATCCGTATTTGCTGATGCCTCTAGGATAGGCTCCTCTTAACATCTGAAAAATCAAATAAAACCCTTGCAAGTAGCTTTAAGAAAATATAAACCAGATAATCATAAACATGAACAAGTGCAAGAAAAAGGATTAAAACTCATTCTCCTTTTCAAAATTGCTTTTTTTTAAACAGGTCGTGAAATGTTTCCAGGAGTTCTGCCATCTCCTCTATTTATCTTTTGTAGTGTGCACCTGCTAAAATCTTGTGCATGACTGATACTCCTAATTAGGCAGCTCCATCAGTTTTGCTAAGGACCCTCAAAGGAAAATAAGAAGAAATTCTGTGAAGTATTTAATTTTTTTCTAGTTATCAAAATTGTAAAGGAAAACACAAAGGCCCTGCAAGTGGAAAACAGTAAGAATTCATGATTGAGGCATAAACTGAAGAAAGATCTATTTTGTAGTTATTTGAATTTTCATTGCTCTTGTGATAATCTTTTACACAACACTAATCATGTGAGAATTCTCTTGCTACACTCAAGTAAGTAGAATGCCTTTGGATTTTTCATGAAAAGGCATCATCAGTAGCTTGTGAGGAAAACCAAAATATTCTATAGAGAGACTTCAATCTCAGTTCATTGCAATAGTTGTAAGCATACTTTTCCAGATTCCTACATTTGAATATTACATAACATCAGTTTAAGTAAAGACATGCTAGACTTCTAGAAATGGTTTTCTTTTTTTTAATTCTAGAGGCTGACAGGTAAAGAAATAAACATTACTACAGTCTCTCCATTCCCCTGTTAAAATTCCCAACACAACTGTACCAAAAATCCTGGTATGCTAAAACTCAGAAATATTTCTGATTCTAATTATGAAAATTTGAGAAGCAATGGTGTATGTAAACATCCCTCCACCATTTTTCAGAACAAATTACCAGAAAATTTCATATAAAAGATTTAACATGCATTGAAATCCAAATAACTGCTTTTAAGCAAGAAGTCACTCAAGTAATTTTATACAGTAACTGACACATTCATTGGCATTTTCAGCCTCATACCTCCACACTCCCCATCACTGAAAATGGTATTTTAAGGGTTATATCCTGCCCACTATCAGAATACAGCACAGGGAGAAAATATACTCTAAAACTGAAATCAAAATGAGATCTTTCCAGACTTTTATACATAAGCTAATACTTCTAACTACAGAAATCACTGACTGAGGTTGCAATTATTTTCTCATTAACCCATTTGTGTCCCATACCTTGTAACTTTAGCATCAAATTCTTAAGATCTACTTGGCCTAAAAAAACATGACTCCACATTTAAAATTACTGAAAGGCTCTTGACTCTCAGTATTACTAACAAGTGATCTTTGACAAAACCATCTTTTCAGTACATGACAAAAAGTACAGAAAACCAAAGCCAAACAAAATTACCTGCACCTGGTCATCTTTTCTCCTTTGTCAGGTTAAGCAAGATTAATAAATGGGTTTATTTCTAATAAGCTTAAGAACAAAATAAAGAATCAAGATCAATAACTCTTCTTGGAGGCTGCATTATGTGTCCTACCATTGTAAGAGCTTAATTTCTCCCACAGGAACTTCCATACTACTTAAAAGAGGTACAAGATGTTGCTTTTAGAACTAAGACATGAAAAGGGACACCTAGTGTCAATATTTAAAATACTGAGAATTTGAACTGATCACCCAAAGACTGACTTAGCTGGGGCTGGGGGACATCTTCCCTGGCAAATAGGCATGATTTATATTTGCGGTGTAGAAGGCGTTTTGGGAAAAGTTCAATCCCTAAAACGGCTGGAGAGCTACCTTGGACAGTTCAGCACTTTATTTAAGCAGATATGAAAGCATACCTCTTATCTCTTCTCCAAAACCTTACTCAGTAGGCAATAAGCTTATTGAGCTTCACAGTACATCCCTTGGTAGGAATTAGTCTTTTGATGTATATCTTGTGATCCAAGTCATTGTAAGAAAAACTGTCTTTTAGATCACAAAGTACTGAGGGTTGGGAGGGACCAAATGGTGGGCTCATGTGGTCCAACCTCCCTGCTCAAGCAGGGTCATCCTAGAACACATTGCACAGGATTGCATCCAGATGGTTCTTGGGTATCTCCAGTGAGGAAGACTCCACAACCTCTTTGGCCAATTTGTTCCAGTGCGTGCTCACCCCCATGGTAAAGAAGTTCCTCCTCCTATTCAGGTGGAACTATTCAGTTTTTGCCCATTGCCTCTTGTCCTATTGCTTGGCACTACCGAGAAGAGCCTGGCTCCATCCTCCTGACGCTCTCCCTTCAGATACCTATAGACATTGACACAGTCCCCTCTCAGTCATCTCTTCTCGAGGCTGAACAGGCCCAGCTCCCTCAGTCTTTTGTTATAAGAGATGCTCCAGTCCCTTCATCATCTTTGTATCTCTCCACCAGGCCCACTCCAGGACCTCCATGTCTCTCTTTTACCGAGGAGCCCAGAACTGGACACAGCACTGCAGATGCAGCCTCAGTAGGGCTGAGTAGAGTGGCAGAATCACTTCCCATTTCCTGCTGGCAGTGCTTTTCCTAATACACCCCAGGATACCATTGGCCTTCTTGGCCACAAGGGCACACTGGACTGTGGACAGCTTGTTGTCCACCACGACCGCCAGGCCCTCCTCAGAGAGGTACTCTTGCCATGCCTACAGATATTCTATTGATCAAACCACTAAAATCAGTATCCTGAATCCTGAGATGTTTCAAAATCAAGATATTTCCATGAGACTGTCTTTTTAAAATTTAAACCACACATCAGTCACAATGGAGGTATGCTCTAAAATTAATAATAAAAAAACTATATTCTCTGTGCTGTGTAATAATTTTACTGAACAAATAGCTCTCAAGATGTACTTTTCATAATTTTTATATACAAAACCCCATAGAAGAATAAAGCTTTAAGAAATGATTTTACAGAATATGTTGCAATTAATCATGGCATACGGTGTTCCCAGATATCAATACCAAACTCACAAATCAGAAGCATCTATCATGGAGCATTTAAACTGTAACATGTCCTTCTTGTCTTTGCAAATATAAATGATTTTTAAGGTGCCCCACGCTTCAGCTTTCACCCAATGCAAATTAATCTACAAACAAGCACTGAGATCCTAGAGGTCTCATTTAGGGACAACATTCAGCATTGCCGCAGACATTTATTACACAATATTGATCTACTAAATGGAAAGTTTCTCTTTTGTAATCTTTGGGTAACTTAAACACATGTAGTAAAGGACAGCACACAAATATAACTTATAAGGTATCTTCTCCAAACAATGAGTTTGTGCTAACATGCAGAATAACACTACTTGCGGAATTTAATTATTGTAGCTTTTAAAGCATTTGCAAACCATAGCTAGTACATTTTCTCCTTGACTATTTGATTCAGGGGCTATAGCACTTAAAATACGTTAGCATCTTCGAGGCTACATTAAATTAAAATGTAATCATACTAATCATAATTTACTTTTTTCGTACTTAATTATTTAATTGTAGTCACATTTCATTAAAACAAACAGATAAGTTCAGAATACTAAGTATGAGTGATTGTGCTTTATGCATTAATTCTAATGTGTCTCTAAAAAAAAAAAACAAACAACCTAACAAAACCATCTCAACAATCAAATTAAAAAATCTGACATAAATCTATCAAAAAGCCCAAACCGTTGAGTTACCAAAACATTAGCAAGAACAAGGTTTCTGAAATACGCAAGTGTGATTACATTTTGAATTTTGTCATTTTAAAGCCTTTACTTTCACTGATGTAAGGTAATTAATTTTTACATCACCTCTTCTTTTTCTTTAGATCACAGTAGAATTCAAACCAACAAGTGTGAGTGATTACCCACACTTACTCTAAAGGGCAGACAACACAAGTTTACAGAAACCTCGACCAAGACTACAGTAGTTACAGAACATAAAACAAAGTTAATAGATATGCCTTCTTGAGGATAATACATAAGAAGGGGTTTAGGAATTTTGTATTAAAAGCTCATTTCAGATTATGCAGTGTTTTCTCCTCCCTTCCACAGATCTGTGAAATAAAGTGGTAAACATGTTCTCTTCAATATTCATTTCGGTAAGAGTTTAGTTGCAAAATGGTTATACTTACATAAATATAAAACCACATGATAAAGCAAAATATTGTTAATTAGTAAGCCAATCATAAATAAATTCACCTAAAATTAACAGAAGAAGCAGCTGTATTCCTTCTACATTGATACATTTTTTAGCATGTTTTTATTAGTCAACTTCATTGCCTAGCCTGGGACAAAACAACTCATCATCATCGAGCACTCAACAATTCTGCACACTGAGCTAAGTCTTTTTTTTAGTTACATTTTTTACATTTTCTTTACAAATGTAATACTTATGTACATTATATATTTTATTTCTACAATTGATTTACTTTACTGAAACTCTACAACTTTCACAGGGAATTTGCTGAAGTCTTTAGTAAATATGAATCATTCCTCTTAAAAAGAAATTCATATAAACAACCAACATACATCACTGCCCTTTGACATCTCTGTTAAGGATTTGGATCTGGAAGGGCTACTATAATAAATGTAAGAAAAAAGGCTTTACCTAATTGTACATTTTGTTAAGAAATATCATCCCACATAGCTACATAAATTCACCAGCTTGCAATAAACAGAGCACCATACCGCTGCACAACTGGATACGTGTACAAACCAATTTTAAAGTTTACTAGTGAAACAGCTTCATCACTCCTAGCACTTTGAGACTGAAGTAAATCTGCAAAATTCTTTTGGAAATGTATACTTCTTTAGCTGTAAAGCTTCCAAAACAGTGCTGTCACTGTATATTGTGAAGAACAAGCATCCACTTCTGTAACTTCCCATATGCTTCTCTCAGCCCATGCTTCTGTCTGAAGTCAGAATTTTTCTTCTATTTATTCCTTGATCACTTACAAACCTGCTGTTGAATATTAAGTAAGAACTCATAATATGAGAAAGCTGCTTCTGTCCGATCCTCAATTAAATGCTGAAAAAAATCTGTTTTGGCAGGGTTCTCATCTCTGAAAGAAGAGAGGAAGGTATTGAGCAAAATCAAACATTGAGCAAAAAATCCACTGCAAAATTCAAACAGAGGCCTAAGGTCTAAAAAATTTCTTACTGTCCTTTGGAATCTACATTCAGTCCAAAGATACCAAAACTGAAAATAATCTAAAGTCTAGGAAAAAACCTTGAAGTTTGCAATACACTATCAAACAACAGCATCTTTTTAAGGAGTATAAAATGGCAGAAAAGCAGGTGAAATATAGCATTTAAAGTATCTTGCAGAAACACAAAAAAGAAAATGTAAAAATACTTCTCTTTTAGAAGTCAGAAGTTAACAAATATTGCTGGTGGCAATGAAAAAATGCAAAAATTACATCTCTGGTTACATGTAATCTCAATCTCAACAGAACAGAGAAAGTAAACATGATTATATTATCCATAATTATTGTCCCAATAAAAATTATCAGAGACACAATCCTCTGTACTGGTATTGTACAGTGTGCAGCAAAGCTCCTCAGTCTCTCAGAACTACTTGCAACTCAAGCAGCAGCCATCATGCCACAGTTGAAGAGCTTCAGTCCTGTATTTCAGCATTATTTCTCTAAGCAAGTCATCATACTCTCTAAAAGTGACCTCTAAAAAGTGATCTCCTGTCCAGCTCAGTAAACTGAGTATTCCAGAAGTGAAATGTAGTCTCAAGTATAATAATTTTATTGCACTTAAACTTCTTTAAGTGAGTTGTGTCTTGAAAAGGCTTCAAAACTTGCCTCATCTATCATAAATCAGCTGCTGTCCTATGGAGCTCAGTAACAAATACATACAATTACTTACCCATCTACAGATTACTTACTTTACTTCTTTTTTATATGCATATTATAAAAGTTATAACAGAAATTAACCCAGCTAACTCCACTGATCAGAAGGATATCCATTGCTTTAGTGTATTCTTAATACAAAAATATGCAACTAATTCCTAACAATAAAACTATTAGTAATTGAATTTGCACTAGATTCAAAGACGATCTTTGTCACTAAGCAGTTTTAGATAACAGCATTATATCAACCGGAAAGACAACGATACTCAGATAAACACACTTTTCATCAGTTTTAATTAGACACTGTAAATACAAGTTGCCAATAACAACTTAGTATCTAACAGAAATACTTACTTTATTACTTGAAGAACTGGACTTAAAGGTCTACTGTCTCTAAGCCAAGATATAAAAGATCGTGTTCTTTCTGAAGAAAGTGCATCTACCTCAGGAAGCTGCGTCTGGTTGAAGGTAATGGACAGAAGTCAGCATCTTTTAATATCAAAACTATTTAAAAAACTATTTAAGAGAAATAGATCCTGAAAGTCGTAACATGACTCAAGCCACAATTTCTATTGAGAAATTAGCACCCACGGATTTATATATACAGATTTTTTTCTTCAGCTTTAGTGTTTAAGTACACCTTTAACTTAAACCGCATTTTAAGTGCAAAAGATTTGAGAAAGCAAGTTCATTTGAGAAGTCATCTTTTCAAAATGCTGCTTTGCAGTCTTCTTGCCTTTATCTTCCCCTGGCAATCAAGTTCCTACATGTTGTACTATACATCACTGGAAAGATGAGCAAAACAAGAAGAGAAGTCTGAATTGCAAGTAAATTTCTGAATTGCAAAGATTACACTGGACTATTTGGTTGGGGAATAAGGTGAAAAAATAGAATTAAAACCAACTCTTCAGTCAACATAACACAATCAGTATGACATAAAAGACTCTATTTCAGAATTAAAGTAGTTCCATTGCTACCTTTGTAGAATGGAGGACATAATTTAAAAGCAAAGATAACTTTATGTTAGTTTTTGTCTCACTTTCAGTATAAAAGATGCTATATAACCTTTAGAAAAAAATTACTCTCCTTCTCCTATCTAAGTTGTTCCTAAAAACTCTATTAACTAATACTTACCACCACCAGAGGAGCCAGTTTTAAATTGCCAATACACGCAAAATACAAAACTCTAAATAAGTAGTCCAATTCTACAGTAGTTTCTAGCTTACCACTCTTAACCTGTTCTTATAATTACCACTTGTCACTTCACCCCTTGATACTATGGAAGCTTTATAAGCAGAAAATATCTTCCTGTGTTTCTAAACTAACACATTTTTGGTACTATGTGAATATAACCATTTGATTCTGAACTTTTCTAGAGTGTCTTAAAAGAATCCTTCCTTACCTGACAACTGTTGACATTTTGGAATCACTTCTCATGGAAGAGGAGACTTCTCTTTATTTGCTGCTCTGTTTCACACACTAGACTATAGGTTATAACATAAAAACCCCTCCACCAAAAAGCACATCCAAGGGTCTTTGATGTTCTAACAGCTAAAAGCATTTTTTAACATTAACTCAAGGCTTGGAAGCTGAGCAAAACTTAACTCTTACCCTTACTTACAGGTCTATCGTGTCATACCATAGATTTGGTATCTGACACCAGATTGAGAGAACACAAGGCTTCTGAAAACCATGGTATCAATAAAGTAACTCTAATATTAACCATTAACACATCTGAATAGATAATTTTTGTATTCATTCTGTGAAATTCCTTCCTATTCTTGTGAATGCACATGCATTTCCATAAAAAAATACAAGGAGTAATGTATAGAGCAACTCCGGAATTTCACAAATACCAAACTTAAAATGTTTACATTCTTTCCTTAAAAACATCTGACAACTTCTATTTGGCTCCTATGAAGCTGACAAGTTAGAAGGTACCCAATAAAAAACCCCCCTAATTCACAGTTACGTAATTAAAAACTGAAAGTCCAGAAATAAAGAGATTAAATATAAATTCCAAGCGTAAGCACTATACAGCTCAACTCAAATGCCTACCATTTTCTGTGGAACTGATGCATAGTTTGGGTATCCAAGGACATCTTTTATGAAGCTGTTATCACAGTTTTTTCCAATCCAAATGTAAAAAATCTGTAAGATATCAGAATCAGTTTTAGTAAAGGCCATGCATACATTTTAGAGGCAAGTGGTCACGTAATAGGAATAATACCAGAATAATAACTTTCATGCAAATGAATCACTTGAGCACTCCAGTTGCACTTCATGTATACATGTCTATATTAATTATTTGCACATTTACTTATTAGTACATTGGTAATTTTTAGAATAGATCATTAAACAGAAAAAAAATATAGGTAGAATGCAAATACTGAAAGAATGAGGATGCAGGACACATCTATAATAGAACAGTTATTGCGATAACTTCCCACGTTACCCCCTCAAATTCTGTCAAACACTGACTTCCCAATCTAAGCAAGTCATAGTAAAGCATCAATTCCCAAAACATATTATAGTAATTATTTCAGACATCTGAAGACAGATGCTAGTTTGACGTTCACACACAGCCCTGAACTCATAAAAGGTTTCAAGCACTTTCTAGATTGTCATTTGAGTAGCATAATGCTTTATCCAATTAAGTATGTTTTAGTGTAATTTCTACGGATACCTTAAAATGCATCTACAGATTTTGTTCACTTTCCACAATTCCCTCACTTTTGCATAAAACCACTTTATTTTTGTGTAGCTGGGAAGGTTTCTGCATCAATGAAAAGTGTTTTATTAAAGACTGTAGTATATACATTTTAATAACCATAAGAGATTTTGGAAAATAAAAATAAATTAATTCCAGAAAAAACACCTTGATGTGAACTCTTGATATATTCTGACCAGTCTATCATGAAAAAAACAAATCAGCTTTTAAAGCCTCAAAGATACTCCTTGGATCAAAATATGAAAGCCTTTCATTGAAACACAGATTACTGTCAGGTTACCTGGAATGCTGATTCACTACACTGTTATTATTGAGAGTTGACTGCTTTTAATAAAGAGTACATGCATTGCCTCTTTTTTCTTTAAAAAAAAAAAAGTGTGTAAAACTTGTAACTTTTTTAACTTACTGAGCCACAGTCCATAAGAAAAGCTCCTTCTCTTGTCAACTTCTCTGCAGACAACTTCTGAAGAGGTGGCTGAGGAACAACTCTGTCATTTACATGTATTGTACTCTGTAACAAAAACCAATACTCAATAACACTGGAATTTTACCTTTAACCAGGTAAAACAAAACAGGAAAACCACTGTTAATCTCTAGTAAAATTTTGAGGATTCTCATGTAACAAAATACCATGTTAAGCCTAAAATGATTATGTACTCCAAGCAGTTCTAGAATGTTACTTAACCTAAAGCCTACTTTATTACCTAAAAAATAATAGTGGAAGTTCATTTAAGATGCTTATGTAACATTTCTGATGCTACAGATGTCAATATTTCAAAAGAATTCTAGTGTTGACATTTGAGTGTCAACAAATTCCAGTGATTCTTTTCATTGCATTCAACTTTACTAGAAATGCTGCAAGAGCTGAACAACATCAAATGGTACTTCCTTATGAGGCTTCACTATTTTACTGCATTCAACTGACAGCAAGTTCCTTGATTTAACATCCTGCTTGAAGTGATCCACAGGTTTCTCCACAGAGCACTATGACCGATCTGATTAAACAATCTGGCTGTCAGCACTGACATTATTAAAAAATATCCTCCCCCAACCCAAATCCCCAGTATTTTCAGATTAAAGCTGCTTCCCCCTCCAATACAAAAATAGGATGGGTATCTTAAGAACCTGTGAAGCATTCTACAAATAATGTAGGGAAAAACAGTCTACAGACTAAGTACAAGACTGTAGTAAAAGATTATTAAATAAACTAAAATCTCTATTTAAAAATTTCATACTGTAAAGCCATAGATCAGAAGTTTTGGGGGATTTAGGCATAATTATGAAAATCAAGCTACTGAATTCCACTTGGGCAAGTTCTGGGCTTTACTCAATGGTCTCAAGAATCAAGTGTTAAGAGGAAGGAAAACCAGCAATAACATTAAAAAATAATTCTGTAATATATATAATATTCTAAAGAAACAAGAAATTTAAGAGCAGCCTCTGTCACCAATACTTTAAACTGAAGTAATACTGACAGATTAGCACTCTGTTATATGATTTAAAACATGTTCTGTCAATTAATTTCAATAGGTGAAATAAGCTCTATTTTTTGTATTATAGTACTAAAAATAACTGATCTGAAAGCCTCTGCTAATAAAACAGGATCTGCTAAAGACACTGGTGGTTCTTTACAGGACATGCACACTGAATACAGTATTTGAATCTAAGTGCCTCAAAAAAAACTTTAACAAGGTTAGTTGAAGTTGGCTTCTCAAATGCTTGGAAGGGTGGAGTATAAAAAGACTAACTAATCAGTTCCTCTGAAGAGCACTGAGTTTAGACTCACCTATTTGAGTTTATGAAATACCTCAAAAGAAACTCTCAAGACTACAAATAGGTCAGAGGTTGTGCTGAACAATACCACTGCCAGAGAAATGACTCAATTTATCATATAACACTTAAAACCAAACTCCCACACATACTTTTCCAAAGCTAGCAACTACAAACTCATAAAAACTTACCTAAAAAAATCCCTTATTTTTGCAATTATAACCAACTTTGACCTCAAATAAAATCCCGTCTTACTTCTTACTATTAAAAAAGTGCATCCATTTCCTAGGTTACCTCTGTAAAAGCTGAATTAATAAAATCTGGTTTCATACATGAAATACCTTTTCAGTCTGATCATGACCAGCGAGAAGTACAATTCTGTTTTATCCACTTGAGTCTGAGAAACCACTGTTATTATTGCAGGCAACTTTATCTGATTTCAGTATACGAAACCTAGATTCATCCACCAGATCTACTTCACCCATTTCCCCCAGACAGGTGTAAAACACAAAAGCATACTGAAGGTGTTTCCAATGCATAATCTTCTCTGCTTTCTTTGTATAATAGAAAAACATGGAATTATTGTGGTCAGTGAAACAAGATGAAGGAAAGCCACAGTTTTGCTCATAACACAGTAGTGTACTTGCAACTCAAAACTTGAAAACAAATATTTTTCTTGATTTTTTATAGTTTATGGTAAATTCTCCACTTATATTATAATAACAACTTCAATTATTGCAGCACAACATTGAGTTTAACAGGCCACTAAAACTAGAAAATGCTACAAACAGGCTTCATACATTACCTCATCAGTCAACTTGTCTATTCTGTACAAGTTGGGATGTATCATTTTCATCAAATGAACAAGAGGCTGGCTCTTCATCTGGCACATTGCATATACACGATCATCCAAGCGAGTGCTCGTGCCTGTCCTGAATGCTTTCTGTAAGAGAACAGTGTTGCTACTCAAATAAACCGTGCATTTCAGAATTTTGAAAGCTTCAAGCAAAGATGGCAAAGCTTTTGTATAGAAATGTATCTTAGTGAGATAGATCAGAATCTGAATCATAGAGCTTGAATAAAATAAGTTTAAAATGTAATCCATTCTCCCTCCTTACTGATAAAGGAGATTAAATTTCCCCCTCAATTTGTCTAAAATTTGCATGAAATTGAGCCAGCATTTCTCATTTTCACTCTTGACAAATGCTACTGCCCTCTGAAACTCACCAATGCAAGCTATTATGGAAAGATATGAGACGAGCAGAGTCCAAGCAAGACTGCAGAGTCCAAGGTGCATAAGATTAACTCTGATTTTACAGTAGTAAGAATTCATTGTTAAGGGAAAACTTTGGAAGGGAAATATACTTTCATGTTTTATAGTGAAAACTAGGCTCTCATAGGATAAAATCTGTTTTGTAACTCCTTCCTACTGAATTCTTCAGATTCCCTTTAAAAGCAATTGTTAAACGATTGCTGTGAGAAGCAACACAATGAAGTAAACATCATGTTCTGACTCAATGGAGAATATTCCTATAATCAAAGTTCACATTCACTTCTACAGCAAAGCTAAGAACATCAGTCCTCCTTGGTTGCCACAAGTACTTTGGTTTGGGTTAAAAAAGATAACAAAAAAACCCCCAAAAACCAACCCCTAAACAACTTGTTTTCTCAGCCACGCTTATTTATAATAAATGGTCTGTTTTTTACCCATCATTAACTACATTACTTATGCAAATACCAAAAGATCATGATCAGTGTATCAGAGGCTGAAGTAATCACTAAGCCAAAGAAAATAAGTGATTATGATTACATCTCTTACCAAACTTGCATAAAGGTTTATTCATCATAAGAGAACAAACAACTCTCAGACATGAAAATCTTTAAGCTGTGAGATTTATTCATAACAAAACCCTGCAGTAAATTCTTTTTATGTATGATGTTTGGTAATCCAAAAATATCACAAAAAAAAAAAAAGTAGTAACTAGTTCTATGTGACCTTTAAACTATATCACTTGAGTTTCTGTAATAAATTTCACCTTATCTCCATGGAAACTAGTTTTTCTTTTTGGAACTTTAAAGTACAAAGTATATGTACTGAAAAATATTTAACTTTTCCTCCATAAAATAAAGTTGAAGAAGTACTAATAAGCAGCTGTCAACAATCTACACCAATGAGCTGCCAAAAATCTGAGAAATGCTAACTGTAACAGTACAGATATCCTTATTTTCATTGTAAAACAATATAAAACAAAACATAAAAAAATAAAAATCAAATAAGCTAATAAATGGTTCAGACACCAGTAATTTAAAATAAGCTAATATAGTCATCTTCTACATGAAAGTCCTGTAAGCATAAAGATAACAACACAATTTTCATTAATTTTAGAAAAGTGCAGACATTGCTTGACCTAGAACAGAATTCCTCAAATGGAACAAAGAATTAAATATCAAACATTAATCATTAGATTATACATACCTGTTTGAGAAGAGCCAAAATATAGAGTGGAAACAGCTTGAGGGAATTTGGTGCTATCAGCATGGACTGCTGCAGATTTGAGGCAGTTGACATGTATGCTGCCAAGGAGTCTACCACGGCATTAACTAAGGCATCTCTTGCATCTGCAAGGCTAGATGACACTGAGCGATCCACAGCTGTTCGGGGGAGAAGGATAGAAGAAGTTATTAGAGATGGCCTCATTCATTCCCTTGAATTTTGAAAATATTAGTTGAGCTTCTGGGTTATGCTTTAAAGACAAAAAAAAAAAACAACCCAAAACCACACCTGAGGTCTTAATTGTTTTAGGTGCAAATTAGATGATTGTCCATACTGGAACTCACTTTCACAATTCTTAAAAATACAGTGTGGCTAATTTCAGCTCCATAGTTATTAGTCTTGGAGAATTGAAAGAAATTTTTAAAGCTGTCATATATAGTTAAGTCTAAATATAAATCCTCTTTTAAACCTTATACAAATAACTTCGCTATTGCTGAAACTCTGCTGCCCAACCTCCAAGATAAGATTTGCAGCAATTAATTTTGATTTCCACCAACCCCCAAGAAATTTCCCAGTTTTTTCTCCATTATTTCAGTGGCATAATTGTGATAAGTGTAAATGCAGCTTTACTTTTCTCTGCTGAGCAACGGCTGCAAATTCGTTGATTGGAGGAAGCCACCTGCTGGACTGAATGCGCATTTAAGAGGAGATCACAGAACTGTTTGGGTTGGAAGGGACCTTACAGATCATCTAGTTCCAGCCTCAAAAGATGTAGAAGTACTATTTATTTCTTCTAATTGATTTCACTACTAATTCACAACATAGCTTATACTAAAATGCTGCACAGAGTCACACACATTTGGTGTCAGAGATCAGTCTATGAAACATCTACTTATGACCCGCAAGTCGGGACAAGTAAGAATCCTCAACCCAGCAACAACAGCATAGAAGCACACAAAACTAGTATTTCGATACACTGTTGTCAGAAGTTGCCTTTTAGTCTCCAGCAACTCACTAAACTGAATCACTGTCTCTTAAGTAATCCGAGAATGCTTAAGTTTGAGATAACAACTATGATGATGATACAAAAATGAGAGTTTTGATCCAAGTATTCTTTGTTCTTTAATAAACTCTAAAGAATGCAAGGTTCCTTTTAAAAGATTAAGGTCAACTAAGTATTCAGAAGGAGGAATATTTCGGTTCACAGTTTTGATATAACTTTGATTTTGTCATCTTTTGCATTCTCAGGCTTCAGTGTGCTCCAGTTTAATACCTAGGCTTCATTTACTATTTCATTTAAATGGTTGGCAAAATTAAGAACATACAAAGAAATACTTGAATCTTCTTGGTCTGTACTCACCCATGTTGGCTAAGAGGCAGACAACTGCTTGTACATCTGCTCCTGCATATACGTCAGCCAATGAACTTACTACAGGCAAGCAAAGTGTGTGCACTCGAATGCGCCGTTCACCTAAGAGAAATCAGAGGAAACCATCGTGAATTACCTCCTGCTAGAAGTATACAAATTCAGTCTTTACTGCATATCTCCTCTCATCTAAGATGCACCCACTTTATAAAAACATACCAGTCAGGAAATTGATTTAACACTGTCTCTCATTACTGTCTCAACCTGTTCAAGTTCTGCTCTAAAGCAGCACAAGTTGACTTACAACATCCACAGTGTCTTGATCCTACAAATGAAGTACATGGATTTCCATCCCAAAATTTTGTGGCATCTTCCACTATAGAAATTAGCTGCTATTCTTTAATGCCCACCCAATGTAGTAGCAACTCGTTCCAATTCATCACAAGTCTGTGAATTTGGACAAAGTGCCTGCCAACATGTTACTGCTTGAAACAATGGTATCACTTGTAAGTAAAGGATTCTTGCTGAATCAGATGTAAGATGGAGATTAATCACATTATCCCATCAAAATAGACTTTATAAGGATTTCCATTATGTGATTAATTGCCAAGGAGGCTCACTAGCCTTGAAAAGATTCTCTTAGGGTATTGTGAACGGCAGAAGGCTGTGGAACCAACTATACAAACATTATATTATAGAAAAAGCCCACTGGTCAATTAATTTGAATTTATTTACCTTTGCTGGAAGTATACAAAAGAGCTGTTTGAAAACAAACCAATGATGTGTCAGTCAGACTTTCTTCAATGGACATTTGTACTGCAAATCCAGCATCAGGATTGACATTAGCAAGGGACAACAAATCAGTAGATCGTACAAAAAAGTTCCCATGAAAAGTGTGTATTGAAAGACCTAGAAGCAGATTAAATAACTCAGAATGAGTTTAAAACAGCATGGAAAACTCTTATCAATAACTAAAATCCACAACCCTCAAGCTAGGTTTAAGAAAACAGTAAAAATTCTATCATGCAAAATCAATTCCATGAATCATTAGACATTTCAGCACGATCCTGTAGAGTTCCTGTTCGATTCTGAACGCTCCAAATTGATGCCCTTACACTACACATGTCAATTTAAAGCAAGATCGTGCCATCAACTAAAGAGCAAAGCAACAAACGCCAAAAGCTAATGTAACTTACATAGAGAAGGCAACTTTCTCTTCAGAGAAAGAGAAATAACATGAACTTTAATGTTGCTCAAGACTTAAGCACATTCAAAATGATCATTAACACACTTACACCAACTTTTCCATGTATTTAAGACATACCTTTTGTACATCTTATGCGCATAACTGCTTCAAATCCAATCTTTCTTGTAAGGTATCTTTTCAGGTCTTTTTGCAACTTTTCGGCCTGAGCAGGATTATGGGTACGATGGAAAGATGGATAGTAATAGATGCATCCAGCAGAATACTTGGACATGCAAGCTGTGAAGGAAGAAAAGATATGGTTAAGAGGTAAAATTGTAACATGAAGTCAGGACACAAAAATTGTGTCCAGCCTTCCACAAATCACATCTATTTATCTTTTTCTTCATATGACCCACACCTATAAGACAATGAGAACTGGCCCAGCCTCAGGCCACTGAAGACAGTCACGAGCCACCTCAATACACAATGACCTAATTATACACTGAGCCAAATAAACGCCTCCTTTGGCAGCTAAGACTGAAGTGCCTGCAGAAAAATTCAATGGTGTGGAGGCAAAATTAAGTGTGTGCACAAATCTTGGATTAATATCAAAAGATGAAAACTCTGTCCTACCCCTATAATTAAACTTTATTTATTCCTTGCCATCTGGCTGTTTCCTGTTCTTGAGCAGGAGAGAACATTCTCATTTAAAACTGTGAAATCCTAAAATAAGTTGTCTGATACCACCAATACAATATTTCTGTTCCTTACTGCTATCAACTTCAAAGTCAATTCCATTGCAGCATGAGCTGCAATTCCGAAAGTGCAAAAATATTTACATGATTTAAAAATTCCTGAAGCAGCCTATGCTTCTAAAGTAAGACAACAGTGCAGAAAGAGGGAATGAGGTACTCCTTACCCAGAGAAGCTAGATCAGAATATTGTGAACTTAAGAGAAACAAATCCACAGCAGTCTGCTGGCCTGAACAGTCCAGTGCCAACTTCTTATAAAAGTCTGTTGCTGGACCAAGATGCTGGACCACCTTTAGTGAATAAATTATACAGGGAAGAGTTAAGACAACAATCGTGCTTTTAAGAGTTCATGGAACAAAAGACATACTAGTCAGCAGCAAAGTATCATAAGGAAGTTTCCTTTAAACAGTAACTTACAGGCATTCCCACCTTCAGAAACTATTTTCCTTATGTTCCGTATTATTTAAGTTTGCGTTTACAAGCAGTTATGATCCTACTTTCCAGGAAGTTTACATGCTCATACAAATAAACATTCATGCAACTGTGTACCACTTATTGGATGCTGTGAACTACAAGGCCATAAAAATAACAAGAAACCATGTTTTAGGTCTACAATTTAAATATCCACACTGATCAAAAACTCAGGTTGATATTAACCGAGTTAGAAATATTTGCAGCTTCTTTTGCTTGCCAAGGAAAACTATGAACCAAAGGTCCAAAAGACAGCTCGAGCACTTTGAAACAAGTAACACCACACATACATGTGTGATCTTAAATGTATAAACATAATTTAATTTAGTGAACTATTATAAACAAAAAGCAAGCATTGATCTGCAGAACTACACAAGTCAAAAAGACATGGCCAATACTTAGTCTCATGAAATGAATATTAAAGGAAGTTTTTTACCTTTGTGCTTGACCTTTGATTGGGATCTTCTCTGGAATGCAAAAGCCCCGCTCCCAAGGATGGTAACTGAGTTTGAAAGACAGATATCCGACCACCCGTTGGAGACATCAGTTTAAATGCAGCCTGAAGAGCAGGGCCCAATGCACTGTGTGTTTCTCTTGTATTAGTGAACATATTTGGTAATGCATTCAATAGGTCTTTTATCAGCTGCAGAACAGATTGAAGGGTGTTTTATGAGACTTTACAAGCTTTTGTATGAGACTTTACAAGCTTCACAAGATTTTCTGCTGTTTCTAAAAAGCTCCACTACCATAACTGAAGTGACACAATCTGTACCAAATATTTCAGTTTAGTTTTAACACATTAAGGAAAATAAAGGCATAAATTTAGAAGTTATGATGTATCAAACTACATGTAATACTTGTATAATTAAAAATTAGCATTGGAACTACATATTATGAAGGTAAGTTTGAATTCAAAGTTTAACAGGAACATCTAATTTGAATATTTACTCTTTAAATTTAATTATATATTTTAAGCAATCATACCTCTTTGCTTTCATGGAGATTTACAAGTAAACTATCTGGTGTAGGCAGGAAAATATCTGCAGGGAGAATGGAAAATAACATTAAAGAAAAAAATAACATTAAAGTAGAACAAAACATTTCATTGCCCACTGCTATTCATACCATGAAATAGTCTAATTTTCTGATAGGTGTGTTAGAGAGAAAAACACAGTCTATACAAAGCTTGTCTTATTCAAAGCAAAATTAAGTTTTGAATTTTGCATTTTAAACATCACCTACTCTATAGTTAGTGTAAGACTACTTTTCAAAAATATATTCACTATACATTCAATAACATTGACCTAACACCAGAATAGTTGAGAGATTCTAATCTTTCTTCTGGGAAAAAAAAAATAAGATTCTCGAAAAGTCAGCTTCCATTTTCTTTTTACTTACCATCAATATCTGAGACAATCAGCATCTGAGGCTGAGATAAACCTTCTTGCAAGTTGTAAAACTGAACAGTGCTGTCAAACGTTATGAACCCTATTCTTGTTCTTGAGTCTCCAGGCAGCCTGAAGCATTGAAAAATAAACTATTAAGCCCTAAATCTCTCTCTCAATACATATACATACTCAGAGCTCCTGCTGATGTTAGCAGAAACTCAGCTCTAGTGTACAGGAGTGAAGGGAGAACATAAGAAAGGAGATCTGAAACATGAATACAAACAATATTCCCTCAGTATTTTCTGAAAAGCTGAGGTAATGGCACGGTTTACAAGACCAATGTTATAGATGAGCACTCACTAATATATTGATATTTTGCTCCAAGAGAGAACCTAATAGGTTCATTTAAACATTATACTGATACATGAAAGAAGGCAGTTCTTCAACAGAAAACAGTGCATTCTGCTCTTTCATAATTCAAAAACCCCATTTACTAATGTAGTTACAGAGTACTTACAACTCTAAACCAAAATCCAATGTCTCTACAATGCAACTTACTTATTGCTCATGGGGACCATATTTAAGTAAATGGCATTAAAAATATAAAATTAAAAACTAAAAGCAACTTCTCAAATAGAATATAAAACATCAGCAAGAGCTGAAAACCATGACAGTGACCAAAACCAAAAAAGGCGACTATTGTTGTTACCACCTAGGTATATAAATGAACTGGATGTACTGATTTTCCTATAGACTTTGCGTGTTTCTGAGATCTGTTAACGAAATACCCATAAAAAACTGAACACAGAAGGACTAAACTAAAAAATGGAAGAATTTTATTGTACATACTGGTTTCTTCATGAGAAATTAAAATCAAGTTCCCCAAGAAAAATTTGTAGAAAGGAATTTTCGAGCCTTCACAGGATTAGTTGTCAAAAGACATGAACACAGTGAAGCTTATTAGGCCTCACTAAAAAAGCACCAGTAACAACCCATGCTGTCCCAGTATAAAAATGTGAACAGACAGAAAGTGGCACAGGTAGATCTAGGTGGATCCAGCATGCACCACCTTAGCTATTTCAGCACAAGAACCAGACAACTCAATCTCTGTAATTCAGTTCATTTTTGTTGCTCTTGGCAGAGGGGAACACTGCAGTGTATAGATCTTTGTACAATTAACATGTTGCTAGAAGTTACAGCTAAATATTTTTTGCAGATAAGTAAGTAAATTATATGCAGATACACCTTTAATCACATTCAGGGAAGACAGCTCTCACCATGTAAATTGCTTCAGCAGCTGGGGTTTTTTTGGGTTTTTGGGGTTTTTTGGTGGTTTGGGTTCTTAGGTTGGTTTTGTTTTTTTAGAGATGTAAGCTGCATTTCAGAATTCCGGGCAACTGAACTTCTGCTCTTTGGGGACAGGATGTTTAGACACTATATGCAAGTTTTTTTCAAAATTGTAAATTACTATTGTTCATAACAACATGTCAGCTGATTTGAAAAAATTGTTTATACTCTTACTTGTCTAGGTTTTCCAGCAATGACTGGCAGACTATTGTCAAATATCCAGCCTCCACTGCATTATGTGACACATCTAAAACAAATAAATATACCGCAGGCTGAGGAGGACGAAGCTACAAAGTAAAAAAAAAAAAAAAAATAAAAGAATGTTTAAAAATCATATTCAAAGAAATGGTAAAATTGATTAATCATTAGAAAGGGAAGTGGGAAAAGGGAATACTTAGAAAAATGCAAAGTATACAGTATGCAATAAAAGCAACTTACTAAGAAACATGTGGATAGACTTAACCACAATTCCCACTGGTTAATAGCTGCCATTTGTAATAAATATACAGTGTTATACTTCAGAAAAAAAATTTGATATATTAGTCCCTCCTTCCAACAGTCAACTCAGACATGACATTCATGAAAGATATGGAATTCACCCTTCTATACTCCACTGTTCTTTCAGTGTGATGCATTAAACAGGGTTAAAACATTCTACCTACAACCTTTTCCCAACTCTGTAATGAGCTCTGTTTATTCATTGACAAATGTCTCTGCTACAATGTTTCAATTAAAAGACAAGAGAACAATTTATTTTTGCTGCTGTTAATAATGTCAATTAGGAACAGGGCCTTTTCCCAGGCGTTGTTTAACTTTTCTGGAGACAAGACTACTATCACAGCAATTGTAAGCTGACTACTAATAAGAATAATTTCTGTCACAATTACTAACTGAAAATTTGAAGCTAAATTAATTTGCTTGTTATTCCATTACTGGTCTTTCAAAACTTCCTCAAAACAATGGGGAAAGTCAGAAATTATATTGCATTGGGTTCAAATCTGACTGTGCCACATTAAACTACACTGGATGACAATACACACTGAACTGACTTTAACTGACAAGCCTCTGAATGTCTGCATTAGCAAAAACTCAAAATATGAATTTTAAATAATCTTTAGTGTTAAGAGGACCTTCACAGGAAAATTAATACACACCACTGGAGCAATATGCAACATTAATTTCAAATGCTTTCATATTAAAATGCAATTGCTCTTGCTCAAGTTACCATGAAAAACGTTTTTTACCATATAGTCTGAGGAAGCAATGAATTCCACTGTAGAATTTTGCACCTCTGGCCGTTTATGAGGCTCTCCATAAGACCGTGTCAGAGGATTATACATAAATTCTTCAGGAACTATTAAAAAAATGTAATACAGATTATATTTTTGTCAGCAAATAAAAAACATTATGGAAGCTACAAGTAAAGTAACGTGGAAACATTTCAATTATCACAACAGGAAAAAATTCACGTGACAGATACATAAAATGAAGGAACACTTCAAAGATCTCAAGCAACATCCAAGTTAAGTAATTGGAAAGAAAAGAAAGTTTATTTTAAATAGCACTACAACCCAACTATAAAACACCAATGCAAATAGAGCATTTCACACCAAGCAGCAATCTGTATTGCTTCTCATAACCCCTGGCCTGGACTGCAGACAGTAGTAGCTGTCATCATGTTTCCATTTGCATATTGCAACAGCAGTCAATGGAATAAGCTGAATTCATTATACAAGTAATCAGCATTATATGAATACATTTTCTTCATCTCCCACAAGACTGCAAAACAATCTTTTCCTTCAAAAAAATGCACAACACATCTGACTTAAGATGTTTTTTTTAAAATCTCTGGATCATAAGAACACTGTCACTTTAATCTACATTTTAATCTAAAGTCTCCTATGGACTGATATGATGCAAATGCTTGAAAGAGATACTATAAATGCAAGCATCTCCTGCTACAGAAACTTACCATCATTAACTCGATAGCACAGATTGCATTTCCACCTCCTTTGATCAATGAAAGAAACAAAAGGGTTGATATACGTCCTGCAGGATCTGCATCTTACTATTGTGCTTGATGTTATTACTGGTAATTGCTACAAAGAAACAATGGAAAGCTGTCACAAAGGTATATGATACATTTCGTAGAAATGTGCAGTACAATTCATAAAACCTTCATAAGACTACGTATTCTATCATCTTTCCTTTTAGCTTTTTAGTTTATTTTCATACAGAGTAATTATGATGCCTTACTAAAAATAACTTCCCCATTAAAATCAAAAGAAATAACATTTAATTATTGTCTCAATCTAATATCACAATCAAAGATGTAGTAAGATTTTAAATGAAAGTATTTTAAATTAGAGCTACTGTGGCAAGAAGAATTATGAAAGACAGGACCACTTTGAGTGACTAAATATGACAGATAGAAAACTTTACACAAATAATACATATTTTATAAAAAGAAGTTAGACCAGACAGTTATTCACCTTTTTACATAAATACTAATAAATCAGATGGTGAGGAGATGCTTAACAGTTATAAATACATCTTCAATCTTGTACTGTGCTTACTTTCTGTTGAAAGCATTTATCAGGCCAGTAATACACTCAATATGAGCACAAGAGGGCTCTGTAAACACCTTTTCAAGAGCTACCTGACAGTTGTGAGCCCAACACACAGAGCAGTAATTCACTGCTTTGGAGAACCACAGGCAAGCAAAGATTTCCAACAACAAGGAAAAACTTCTCCAAAGCTTCTCCCTTATGAATTTCAATGAAGTAGCAATTTCAAGGCTTTTTTCCCCTCCTCCTAAGTCCCAAACAAGTTTTTGGTACTTCTGTTAAATTAGGACTTACAGTTCATTGTCATTTTTCATTTGAATGAAAATAAGACAAATGCACATATTAAATACACACTCTGAAAAAAAAGAAGTACGAAACTTTACCGTTAGGTCCCTGAAGGGATGCAGCAACAAACCCAAAGGAAGCTTAGCTTTGTTTAACAAAGCCTGTGTTTGTGGAATATTTGTCAATGTACATCGAAATGAGCTGAAAGGAAATAAAAACATTATATTGAAAATGAAATTTTAAGAGATGTTAAAAACATTGTGTTAACACGAGATTTTAAGGAACTTAGAAATTTAAGAAATCCTGTGTTTTACAAAGCTGATTTAATAAAAAACAAAATGCAAAGAGATTTATAAAAAGGCCTCCTAAAGAAACAAAAAAACCCAGTCCCCCACTCCCCAGTTTAGCATTTCAGCAGTGCAAGTATACCAACTTGCACTAAAGAATCAGAACTGCTTTAGGTACAACACTCAATGTAAAAATACGTATTTTTCTGTTCATTATAAAAATTTTTTCCAATGAAGGAGCCACAGAAGGAATATAGTATTTACTAGTTCTCAGAAAGCAATATTCACATAAGAAAATGGTAGAAAAAGATCCCAAATACTGAGTACAGTCAAAATCTTTTCTTTTGTGTAACATGGAGGATAGACTTCAAGATAAGGGACACTAAAAAAACCCAATGCAGAATTAGTGCTGTCCAAAGTGATCCATACTTAAGAATGATTTCTAGGCTCTCAGCTTTCCAATTTCTGTTTTCTGGTGGGACTGTGTGTTGTCACTAGAGCAGTAAGAACACTGAGTCACTTTGGGGCAACAAAGAATACTTATTTTGGAATTACAAATAAAATCTTTGGGGAATAGCACTTGCCATTGTACCCGGCTGGACTTGACTTGGGATAGTTGTTAATTAATTCTATTGTTAAACAGAATGTTAATCAGAGGTGAAAGGATACAATATTCAATGTATTCAGGCATGATCATAATACTTTTCCAGAAAATATCTCATGCAATATTACAAAAATATTCTACTGCATAACGTTAAGGTGTTTATTAAAACATTTTTTTTAAATGGATAAAACAAGGTGAAGATTAAGCAGACTTCTCAAAATATTAAGAAATAAGCTACACTCCCACTGCATATAATGTATTCTGATGGCAGGACAGTTTCAACATTTGTGTAAGGATGCAGAGGATAAACTTATTTTCAAGTGAAAGAGTTTTTATTAACTCATCATGACGATTTAAATTCAGGAGTCAGTTTACACATTTTTTGACACTTTAATTATTAGTTACTGAAAAATGTAAGATACTGTTCTAGACACAGTACACTCACTCTGGACTGCAGTTTAATTTCCTAAGATCAGAATTCAAGTTAGGCACAGGTGCTGGAACTGAAGACACTGGCAAAATATTTCTATCATGTGTAAGGTTTACTGGTCTCAAGCTTTCTGGCTGCTGAGAATGTTGTAGACTTAAGCTTCCTAAGGAAGAGGACAGCTGGTTCACACCTGGATATTGCTGAAAAAGGTAAGAGCATGACAAACAGGTAAACACACATTCATGTTTAAATAACAACCTTAAACCTTCTTGTAGTCCCCTTTCTTCCAGACACATATTGAAAAAAGATAGAGCAGCACTTAGTAACAAACCCAAACAAACAAGAAGAGGGTCGTATGGTAGAAATTTAAAGATGCTAAGACAAATGTGACATACCTTCTAAATATGTATCATCGGACAAAATTCAAATTCATGACACAAATCAACACAGGAAGTCAGTCACACATAATCCTTCCATCTCTCCAGGCATAAGAAAACAAGTTACTAGAAAGGCTGACACAATTTCCGTCCCTGCACTCTGCAATGTAACTTTTGTTGCAATGTAACTTTTTCAAGTTACAGACACTGCTTTTATATATTTATTTTTAAACTAAAACCATAGAAGAGGAGTAAAGGTTAGGTTGGAAGGCACCTTTGCAGTCTGGTAGTCTAATCTCTTACTCAAACAAGGCTATCTTAAAAGTCAGCTTATGTTGTTTAAAAAAAACTTGAAAGTTAGTTTAGACTTGTCGAGTTTTGATAATATCTAAGGATTGACAATTTCATGACACAATCTGTTCTACTGCTTCCCCACTCCATTCCTGAAGAATTTTCTCTTTATGTGTCCAACTAGAATTCACTTGCTGCAACTGCTGTGATCCTGAAAAGAGCCTACCTGCATCTCACATTATAGTGAAGATGAAGCCAATCCTTTCAATTTAAAAAAAAAACAACAATGAATAATTTCTTCCAGGTCGCATTCTACATTACCTCTGTAATGTTCCTGGATAGTATATACTAAGTTATGGTACTACACTCAGATCACTAAGGAATTGTGATCACCTACAACAGCAGTTTCACTCTATTTGCCAGCTGGCCCTTATTTCAGAAAGTAAGATTTGTAAATCAGTACATTTCTTTTTGTTGACCTCTTCACACATACATTTCTTCGCACTGCTTCAGCATTTCTATTTTTCCTCAGTGTCTGTCTCTTCTTCAGATTTCACTGCACTCAGGTGATTCACATGTATGACAGGAGTCAGGTAATTGTACATGATTTCTTGGGTGTTTGGTACTCTCTTTGCCAGGAAAATAGAGCAGACTCAGTCAGCCTGCCCCATCACACACAGAGCCAGCACAAACTCTACAGAGCTCTTTTATGTGGACCCTATGCCATGCCTTGCTCATGAGGTCATTTAATGCTGGAGATCATAGCCTATAGTAGTGCTCAAATACATGCAGATCAAGTACTTCCTTATGCTTCGTCATGGTTTCCTATCAGTGATGTTCAGCTCTCTGGAACACCAAACCTTAAAGCTGTGGATGCTGCTAATAACTGGGGAAACAAACTTGTTCAGCTAACTGCTTCGAGGCACACTTAAAATTTTCATTCAAAAGCCTTCCAATGAGTTTAGATCCAGAACTACGACATCAATATTATACTTAACATTTGTTGTCTCAGAAATAATAAAAATAAAATAGAAAATAAGAAAATAAAAGGGGAAATACATCACGTAGAAAAAGGTTTTCCCAGGAAGTTATTTGATGACGTAACTTTTCAATTAAAAATACAAACCTGTGGATAGTGTTGAAAACCAGGATGGTGTCCTGGATTACTGGGCTGCACAGGAGTAGTTGGTGTTGCATTTTGGTAGCCAGGCTGCAGTGCTGGATATCCATAACCAAAGGGCTTTGAAGCTTTTGATGTTTGCGGGACTGATGGAGCAGGAACTGGGCTGCTGGTCACAGAACGTGTATCTGAATGGACAAAAGCAATCAGAAGGTATTGAATATACTTACTATTTCCTTCTTAATTTAAATGTAAATTCCTAAATGCTTTACAAACAACATTTCCATTTGTAAGTGTTTTCATTACCCATCAAGTTATTTTTCTGCACTGAAAAAAGCAATTAGCAAGGAAGATTACTGCAATTGCACTGACAAAGATGACATATATGGGAAAATGACCACAGACTTATAGTTACTACTAACAAAATGTTGCTTTACAAAAAGAGGCAACCTGAAAAGTACTTCAATTGAATAAAAAAAGAAAAAACCTCTTAGAACCACATTTTATTACAACATATATATTTGATATAAACCACAAGAGACCATTCATGCTTAGTCTCTGCTCTACCACTTCTGAATACTGTCAAACATAAGGCTAAAATCATTCTATAATTCTACAAAGACTTCATTAAAAGCTGTGTCTACGTTTAGAGAATAGTTTGGTCAGCTGAGCCTTATGTTTTCACAGTATTATAAGTGGTAGAGGAGAAATTATGCATAATTGGTCTCTTTTGCAGTTTATAACTCTGATGCAAGTTTCTCCTGTATATCCCTGCAGCACAGGGATATAGAAAAAAAAGAGCCAGAGGGGTAGGCCTTCCAAATTAATCCAATTATCATTTAAAATACTGGCTAACATACTTTGAATAGCATCTTTTCCACTTGTTCTTAATATGGCAGCTCTACAGATTTCAAGACCAAGGCAGTCAGCTAGCAAGTTCATTTAGAAACAACCTGACAGTTCTGCTATCTTTAGAGCTAAAAATTAGCAAAATAGCAGCCATTTTCTTTAAATGAAGAAAAAGAGAAGAAGAAAACCTAGTCCAAGCATCTCTGCAAGCTGATATTGTTGGTGGTGTGTTGACTTCTGTGGTGTGTGAGTCACTATTAGAAGCTCCTACTGTCAACACAATCAGGCATACAGTATGATCTAGAGAAAGATGCTGCTTTCACATTTAGCATGTTTTCAGTACTACCCTCAATACTATAATGGAAAGTATGACACGATTCAGGGAATTTTTCTTAAATGGTTATGTCAGCTTCAACGTTCAAACTGTGAAGTGACTAAGAAAGGCATGTATGTTTTCTCTGATGATTTCCCTCATTCCTTTCATAGGCATTTCCTTTCATCTGCTTGTTAACTAACAATAAACAACACCAGAAATAATAAAAAAACACGTTTAACTATTTAAATAAACGATTCAAAACGAACAGTTTACCTGGATAGCCACCTCCTTCCAGGGCATCATAATTGTTCAGAACAGGAGAGGCACTGCTTGTAGTAGAAGAACTATCAAGTGCTGGGGGAGGAAAACAGTTTAACTTTAGGTACTTCAGAAATGCCAAACTTTTGATAAATAAGAGACTGAGAATTTTTTTCTTAAAATTTTGATAAGAAACTGTCAAGAAAGATCCTAGAAAAAACCCCCACCACTTCAGTCCTAATACATGAAGACTATTACCACTGCAAAAAGGAGAGGGAGGAAGATATAATTAACAAGATATTAAAAAACAAACAAGGACATACCCAACAAATAGCAAGAGAGATTGACGGGAAAAGGACAAAAACAATGAAAAAAGTTCTTTCTTGAAATAAATTTTTTTTCTATTAAACCAAAAGCTCTTTCTAGAGTACCTCAACTGAAGCCGTGCACATTTTAAAAATATCCATTCATGACTTTCTTCACAACTGCAAACAGCTGAAGATTCCCATCATCTTCAGAGTGATTATGCACCATCCCCACCTTCAAGCCAAACTGTCAAGTATTTAATTCTTCCCTCCTTTATGTCCTGTTGTAATTCACAGCTTGGTTTCCTTTCAATCTAAAGTTTCTATTTTCCATTATCATTGACAAGAAGTCTCAGCTTTAGTCAGAATAAACAATTACTTTTCGTTCAGCCAAAAGTAAAAGTAACTATGTAAAAGTAAGTACCAAAATTTAACTAGACAATATAAAAAAAGCACCATGAGCACATACATAGCTGTTAGTACTAAAGAGATTCTTACTGCTGACTTTTTAGTTCAACCTATGCATAGATCTTCAATATTTTATTGTAAAACATTGCAAACAAAAGAATATTTGAAAACATCTCTTCCAATGCCATTTCAGACACATTTCCAAAGAAAAAGGGCCGAGGAGATAAAATGTATCTGCTCCTTAAAGCACATGAAGTCATGAAGTATGACAGAAAGAAAGAGTCTATTTAAGAATTAAAATAAAAAAAAAGAGAATCACATGTATCATTTTTGTGTCAGAACAGACTTGAAAGATTCACTGATACTGTTCTACTCAGAAGGATCAACCATGACCACGCCTTCCATTGCAAAGCTGAAAGTATTTCAAGGGAGAACTTCAGTGGTGGGACATTTGAGATTCGATTGCCCTTCAACTGAGGTTTCCAAGTAAAGAGACTCCTACCTATGAAACATAACATCACTGACATTTTGGACACAGCAATACCATGGCACCATCATGATGGTATAGATTATTTTTGAGCATTTCAAGCACTTAGCTAAGTGCCTTTAAAGCACTTAGCTAAGAAAGAGAAATACTATTAAAATAATACCCCAATACTATTAAAAAACCTCATAACACTAAAAATAATATATTATTTAAAATAAAATTTAACACTGTGACATTCATACCATCTTAGTTTTCAGATTTTCCCTCTTTTTTAAATCCTGGAGGATTTTATCTTTCTATTCTAGAAACTGAAGGAAACAGGATTCCTTACTTTGTTCCCCGAGCAGGAACTTTTAAAGTAGGGCTTTTAAAGCTTTAGGAAGTCCTACTACAGAAAAACCCAAAATATACCTTTGTTAGGTCAACAAAAAACTTGAGAAGTTGCACAATCATAAGCAACTCGATTTCCTACATCTATTTTTCATAAAACCACTGTGACAGTCTGAGCTAGAAACCTGTCTACTGAATCTGTTTAGGACTTAACATTAATTGCTGGTGACAGGATGCTTATTAATCAGGTAGCCTATGTATTGAACCTGGGTGCCCCTTCACTCTTTTCCGTAAGATAAATTTAAATATGATACTGCCAAAGCTACAAGCTTTAGTGAAGTACAGACCTTGAGAGAGAAAGATGGTAGGGAGTATGAAACTTTATTTAGGGAACAACATAATAAGAGAAAGGTTACAATCAATAGAAAAAAAAACCCAATCAACACATCCTTTGACAGAAACCTCGGCATGGGAACCCAGCACACTGTTCTTAATTATGATTGAATGTCGTAATTGTTTTGCTCCATTCTTCACAGAATTAGTATGAGTACACTAAGCTATTTTCACAGTATTCTAGTTGATGATTTAATTATTTTAATAAAATTCTGAATAATATGGCACTTATTTTGTTTTCTGACTAGTTACAACATGAATTATAAGCTTATAGGTAAAGCTACAAAAGTTTGCTATTCCAAATCAATACTAAAAGCCAGCACACACAAACAGGAGCAGTATATCAACACAAGGTATGTGCTATTACTTCAATCTATGAACAAGGGTAGTAGTCTAATGCTTCCCTCAAAAAGCTTTTTACACTCATATAGACAGTAAAGACTTCTATAAGCTCAAAGAAAAAATGTTACCATAATTCAAGAAACTAAGGTGAGGAAAAATATCAAACTCACAAAACCAAGCCATTCTGACAAAACACAGGCAGAATCCTTGCAACCAAGTATGTAATATATTTCAATCTATCAGCACAAACTTCTTCTTAAAAAGTTTGATTTTTTTTTTAAAGTTTTCCTACAAAGCAAGCAGATTAAAATTGAACCTATATGCCTGACCATAGAGATATACCTTAGAAGGAGAAAAAAAATCCAGCACAGATTAATTTACTGTCATATAAAGCATGCTTACTACATTGCAGTATTTACTTTACTACCTTAATTGTCAGAGTTCCCTATGCATAAAATGAGAAAAAAGGTAAACACTTGTTTAATGTACGGTATCTCGTTGCTTAACAGAAGCAATTATCAGTCTAAGTTCTACAGCTAGTTAAGAGTTTAAAACCCATTCCAAATCAAAATATTAAAAATGTGAGTCTTGCAAGTTGTGAATATTACTTTGTTAGATCAATAAAATATCAGATATTAATATGACCAAAAAAAAGACCCATTTGTTGGCCACTGAACTCCTTTTCGTTTACTACACTAGTAACAGTTGGGAAATTTCTAGTTAACTTGATACATGATGAGTCAGAGTGATGTTTTGTCTTAAAGGAAGAAAAAGTTTCAGGGGATGGAAATATGGAGAAAACCTTGAGTAAGAAGAGAACAAGATACTGGTGTAAAGCTAAAGCCAACCTGCTTCCTCATCCTCCTCATCCTCTTCCTCATCATCTGAACTTGATGACAAGGGAGCTGGTGCAGAGTTAGCTTGATTATTAACATATCCACCATACTGCATGCCTGTGAAGTGGAAAGCACAAACATAAGAGTCAGACAGACAGGAAAGACAAGAAACGAAAGTCACAAATCATTGCATTAAAAGTGAGAGAAATTAGCTGTTCTACAGAAAATCCCAACATGCAAAAAGTTAAATTTACAACCCTAGAAGCAATTTTTAGTGGGCTAGTACAGCAAAGTATTAGTAGCACATGGAAGTTAGCAGAAAACTTTATACGTGTGTATGTGCATGTGTATCAGGAAGTTAAACACAAACAGACTTCCCATGTATCTATTTAATATCAGTTTGTCCACTGGGATACTTTCACAAATTAATACAAAGAAATGAATGAGTTATTTCCAGACAAACTCAAATTATGTCATGAAAATGTTTAGTATTAACTTTTACTTGGCACACCTGCCCCTTTTAAGACAAAAATACTTCATGCTGGAATTCTGAACACTGTCAGAAATGAATGAAATATACTGCTGTTGCCACATGCAAGAGTACAAACACACATACAGAGACTGCAACACAATCAGTGAAAATTAAGATAAGTAAACCTGAAAATTTGGTTTGTCTTATTTTTAAATTAGTGCCTAAATTCAGACTTACAGACCCATATTTAAGCACCTAAATACACTATTCACTTCTAATATCTGGAGACAATGCAACAACAGTTAACTGCTGTCACCTTTGAAGCACAACCTATTAGATTTTTTTGGTGTTTTTTAATTTGTTTGCTTTTATAATATCTACTCTAAACATATGTGAACAATACACAAAAGCAACACACAAATATACCATTTTAAAACAGAGTAAAGCATGCAGCAATGGCTTATAATTTCCTACATGTTATTGATGCAATTTCAGCATCTCAAAGAAATCTTAAATTTCTCTTGTAACAAGGCAGGGTTAGCAAGGATTTTAAATATGCTTGTAGTCAGACAGCGATATCCTAAAAAAATGCAAGTGATCACTGCTTGTCTCAGCAATCTAATGGATTGCTATGGTAAAAAAATATCCTAATTCTTCAAAACTCTTCAAAATTTTTCAGATTCTTAGGAGTTTGAGGTTTTTTTCCCCTGTAAAGCACTGTGGCACCACTGAGTAGAATTCTTGATTTTAATACTATAAAGCACTAGAGAAGTGTCATGTTATGCATAATCTGAAACCATCCTGGTAAATAACAATATCCCGATCCACCACTTAAATCAACTATATCAACCTTTATTTTGTTTAAACTGTGGGCTATAAATGCTGTTAGGTTCATGGCTTTTTTTAAAAGGATTAGCAAATGAACACTTCAATTTCACTTAAGAAAAAAACAAAACAGAAAAAAAGACAGAATCAAGGTGAAGAGTATCTATTCAAACACTTGAAGTAAAAAGAAAAGAAAGCAGAACTATATAACAACATTCTTGAGAAGCTGAACTTTCATAGAGAAGTTAGTGCAAGAAAAGAATGACATACTCCTTTATCTACTGCATTAATACTCATACAATTCCAATAAAGTTCTTCCATAATTCAAGTAGTCACAATGGTGAAGGCAAAATCATCTCAAGTGGAACTGAGGACATACAGTGTTTCAGTTTTTCCATACTGCTAAAACACAGGGATAATTTGACTGATTTCTAGTCCCATCTATTATGAAGTTTACTGGATGCACTTGATAAGAAGAATACAAGAAAATCATTCCCTGTGCAAAAACAGACTACAGCTAAGGAGACTATGCCTTTTCTCAGGCCTGGGAGAGCTACCAAGGAATAAGACAAAACAACTGCATTATTGTGGAGGAGAAAAAAAAAACAAGTTAAAGTAATTAACATGCAAGTAAAAGGGAAAAAAAGTCAGGATGACAAGAAGAAATGCAGTGTAACAGAGAGATCCAAATTAAAAGAAGATGCACACAACGCGAGGGTGCAAAGACAGATCTCTAATAAATATCACTCACAGAGATAGGAAGGAGAAAGAAAGGATATCTACCTGGAAAGTGCATGACAATGCAAAAATTCCAAGCATGCGCAGATGAGAGAAAAGGACTGAATTAGTCATTCTACTCATGTTACTTTGAAGTCTTCAGACTATTTCTTTGAAAAAACCAAAACAACCTTCTATTTCTAAAACTCCCCTTTTTCCAGTTACTGTACACTAACATTAAGGATGCAGCATGTGTTCAGAAAGAATACAGAAAAAAAAGAGATTAAAAATACATGCTAGTGACACAGAAGTTTAGGAATCATGAACTATGTCACTGTGATTCCTCTGGAGGCAGGGATGGTTTATCAGCCTTACGAGTTTGCATAGATTTATTTTTATTGCCAACAGTACCACAATTTTCTGCCTTTAGGATACTCCTATGTTGTGCTAGTACAACTGTCCAGAAAAAAAAACCAACCCTGAGTTTAAAAAGTCATTCTCAGGTGGAGAGGATGACCCATTCTAGTTCACTGCCCAGCAATGCTACCAATAGGTCAACACAGGGGACAAAACAAATTGAAGGGCAAAATGGGTGGCTGCAGACAGCAGTTCCAAGTGCCATCATGTGCCTAATCATATTTTCTGTTGTGACAACTCAGTTCTGCTTAGTATCTTTTACATATTTGCCAATAACGTTAAAATCGCCCACTTTTAAAACTGCAAAAGCTAATTTTGAAACCACTATTTATTTTGAGTCAGGTTATTCCATAAATCTGACTCAAAATGCAACCACATAATTTAAATAATCACAAATTTCTTGGACTGGAAATTTCTAAACCCTGTGACCGCTGTACCTGTAATAAATATAACAATTTTGCACTCTAAGGCTTTATCCCACTACAATTTACAGACACATAGAAATATAGGTGAGAGGACACAGAAGATAAACTGGCATAATGATTTATTTGCCCATGAAATAACCCAACCATTTACATATTTAAAGTTCAATCACCCATGTCACAGAAGACTTTAAAACATAAAGTGCACATTTTATATGGTTTAAGTTTCCTAATGGAGGCCCCACCAAAAACAACAAATGAAATAACTACATGCAAATACAAACTATATTCTGAAGTTCTTTAACTGTCTCTACTCACAGCCCTCATATTTTCAACCAATTTACTACAGCATTAAGATCTTAATATTAGAAATAGTAGTCCTTACAAAATGAGCCCTCCTCTTCTCTGTTTTTAAACTCTTTGATTTAGATTAGTTTCATTTACTCATCAGCTCCACTCATCAACATAAAACCTGAGGAAGTCTACAAATAACATCCAGAGAGGACACAAAATCTCAAAGTTTATGTCTGCGATGCTGTTTTCAAGTAAATTAGTTTATTTGCATCAAATTTGTATGCATAGTTATGTAAGATTAAACAGGCTTTAATACATTTTAAGGTTTATGACCTGTTAGGACACAGCCAAGTAAACAACTAGAATTTTTAAATTCTGTATAGGAATGCGCCAATAGGAGCCTAAAATAATGAAATCCACTTTAAAAATTAACTCCAATTGGTTTTTCAGAATGCTTTCGTGCACACAACAGTATTCTATAGTAAGTTAAAAAAAAAATCAGTCCATCTAATCTCTTCATGAGAAACACACTTGGAATTCTAACCCAGAAAAATATTCAGCATGTGTGTTCTATTTTTTCAGTACATTCATTTCCACAAATAAATTTACCACGTTTAACTGCTGTTTAAAAAATATTACAAGAGCACAGTATGTATTTCAGACTCCTCAAATGAAACTAAGGAAGAGTCTGAAGTCTTCCAATGCTCATAAAACCATACGTAAACATAGCAAGATACGTGTGCAATGGCATGTAAATGGATTTATTATTGATTATACTGATGTAAATAAAACTAGATCAATACAAACTCCTGACAACTTATCTTTAGAATGCTGACATATTGTTGGTTTTAAAGTGTGCTCATTCAGCTATGTATTGCATTAACCTTCACTTAAATGGAAGCATTTGAACTTAGTGAAGAATTCAGCAGTGACCGCAGTGAATTGTAGTTACTGTACCAGGTGTTAACACATTTTACAGGAATCACTGCAAGAACATACACATTGCAGGTCAAGGCAATCACAGTTAAACAGCTAAAATCCTTTTTCTCATTAGAAACATGGTTTGCTATTTCCTTGGAAGATGAAGCAATATATTTTTTCTAGCAAGCACACCTACAACACAAATTCTACCTATCGCCAAAATCAATCATAAAACTGTGCAAGAACCACAGTTCCAGAATTTGATTTATTTTTCTTAGAATGGTACACTGTACATAGGACTTTATAGCAATGAACAATTATTTTTTTTGCCTGTAAGATATACAGCAATGATTCACAGAAAACTTATATTCTCCATTCCACCAGAAAAAGAAGGAAATGGAATAAAAGGGGTAATTTAGATATTTATGTCAGAGGATTTTGAAATTTAAGAATAAAAAAATATGCTGTGACAATCACACACCATACTTTGGAGAATTATTTTGAACATTAGACATATCACATTTTTCTGGATAAAACTAATGCCTGCTTCCACCTCTCACACAGAGTTCTTTACCTATAAGAATTTCAAATTCTGAAATTATCAAGAGAAAACATGGACAAAAATTGTGCAGTAAATTAGATTTGGAATACTAGATACAGAAACATATAACAATCAAGAGGCAAGTCAAAACATCAGTCTAAAATTAAAATGACTGAAGTAGGGTAAACACCCAACTGATTCTTTGTCAAGATGATACCAACATCAGAATAGGAAGGAGCTTGTACAAAAACTCTGTTTTCCCACAAGAACTCTTGCAGCATCTTTTCATGGGCAGTTACAGCTATGGAATAAAACAATTCAATCAGTTTGAACTTAATACTCAAACTCACTGTTTCCCAGTGCAAATTGCTAATTTACACTTCATTTTTCAATAGAGACTAATTACAAAAGCTACTTTTAAGACCACCTTCTAAGAAGTTAAAGTAACGAGCAGTTTTTTAGAAGAATAAGGGAACTAAAAGAATGGTTTTCTGAGCAGGAGACATGTGAGACTGCCAACAAGACAAACAAGCCAAAGACAACATACGGACAAAGAAAATCAAACGTAAGCGCTAAGAGAAGCTAGAACCAATGTGACGTAGAACAAGAACACTAAGGGAGCCTGATGAGAAGCAAGAGATGTGCTCCAGTCAGACAAATACAGAAAAGCAGCAATAAAACTTCCAGCATTCACGTGTGCATGTGGAACAGAGCAGAAGTCTGTACTTTAACTTCCCATTCCCATTTAGTACCTTCCTGAAGGGCCAGCTCTGGTGACTGCGTAACAGATGGTGAAGATGATGGCTGTGAAGAGAGGCTTGGAGCAGGTGACCTTACTGACGAGACCACGGCAGAGGAAGCAGATGTTCCAACCCCAGGCTTGGTAAATGGAACATTCTGGCTCACTGAGTGCACGGGCTGTGAAGAATCAATGCCACCTGAAAACAACAGCAGAAAGCAGGAACCCTTTGTATGTACTTGCACAGACAATTACACAACACAAGCAATCACATTTGATTTCACAGTAACTACAAAAAACAATACATTACTTCAAAGAGAGATGCCTTCAAATGGTATATATGGACAGGTTGGTTGCTTTTAAAAATTAAATACCTGTAATGCTAAAACTCCGTTATAATGAACAAACTGCTCTGTCAACTAACAGCAAAAAGGAAAGCATGATGTAGTAAGATCCAGACTAAGCAGAAGCTAATTTTTGATACATGCCCACAACTTTATGCTTTTACAAGTTACTCTTCCCAGTTAAGCAGAATGTAGTCTATCTGAAATAACTCCCCCTCAACATCCCTCCCACAGACAGGAAACCTCAAAGTCTGTTGTGCAGCAGACCAGTACTCTGCCTCCTTCACACTGCTGGCACTTTGCAACTTTGGTACTCAATTATGAGACCCAGATTCCAAGCAGTCTGTTTCAATCAACCCTGAGTACTCCACAGAACTTCTGATGTGTTTTAGATATCTGGACTAGAGACAATCTGCTTTAAAAAAAGTCAGATTAATGCTTTGAGAGATTTGACACAGTTTGGTTGAAACTCCTATCAGGTTTCAACATAACTTCATTAAGTTATCTCTTAACTAAGGGTCGTTCTTTGCTTAGAAACTGAAAAATTTCATATTATGTGATTCTTTCTAGAAAAAATCTGACAGACCAAGCTGTTAAAAATAAGAACAGAAAGGAAATGGTTTGACCAATAATACTCAGTAAACAGACACAGAAATTAAGCAAGAACAAAATTCACCATGTACTCATTAAAGTTATAGAATTCACTAGAGGATGCAGAGGTAATATTAACTTTGCTTCCTCTGCACATAGGGTTGTGTAGTTCATCAAGTCCCTGACTTTTCCTTTAATAATGGAGGTGACATCTGGAAGAACTTTATGGGCAGGTTGAGGTTGTTGAGGTTTCCCTTAGAAGGTGAAGAAGTGGCTTAAAATGATCCTTCTGTTTTTCTTGTTTACAGTCAAAATTAACAGCAAACATTTTCACTATCTTAATGGAACTTTTATATATTTTGCAATTTTCAAATACAATGCTGAGCACACATGCAGTCTTTTCACAAGTGTTATCAAAATCAAAATTATGTATTTTCCCAACATACATACAATTTTCTATGAAATGTATTTTTTAATTGAAATGTACTTGCTATAACCTCTGTTTCTACACATTGTCTTGCAGATTTTCAACGGCAGCAACACCTGTCAGCAGAAATGTTCTTATTAGAGTGACTACATAGCTTTCTCAAGCAAGATATGCAATTAAAACAAGGGAATTTCTTTGCCACATTAACGTGCTTACCCAGGTTTTGTAGCAGAGAGTTTTCTGTAGGGTTACGGTATTTTCCATACTTCAAGTCAATAGAGCAGTGCTTGCAGCACTGCTGTAAAACAATGCTAAATGCTACAATATCTGTGTCACACGTTCAAAGCCAAATAATAACTTCCTGCCAAATACTATTATCTATTCTCAAACAAAGGTTATCCAATATTCTTTAAAAGTACAGGGATCTTTAAATGTATTGTAAAAAAAAGTTTTTAAACTCCAAGCAAAAAAATGTATTCTTTTCTCTGTACAAAAATCCAACTTGCAAAATTACATGTTAAACAGTATTTGAAGACCCTGAAGTTTTTGAAAGCCATAAGTAACCAAGGAAACACTCGGACAAAGTTAGTACTTAGAAATGCATTGTTGGTAACTATCATCACATGAAATAATCTATGGTTAGAGAAATTACGCTATCAATTTTTTTTTCCTCTGGTCAGTAAGATGATTGCATGTAAGTCTGTCATATATAAGTACTGATCAATTTAGGATGCCTTATTTTAGCTCAAGACAAAGCTACACTGAACACCAGTTTAGAGTACAAGTTTCCCACCAGCTTATCCAGGACAAACACAATCAGGCCATAAAATATTCCCATCAGTTGATACCACGAGAAGTCAAGGAGTTTTGTCAGGCTGTGATAAATATAAAATCCATTCTCAGTGACACAGTATTTTCTGTTTTTCACATTCAACTCCTCTCCCCTTCAATGTGCACTTATGTTTTCCCCTTATGCCTCTCAACCATTAACATCTCTTGCACTAATAATGATCAAGTATAAATACCTACAGCTAAAAGCTATGCTACAGAAAGAATCTGCACAACTGGGCAAATTAGCAGTGCAATTCGTCATTTTTCCCTACACATCATCACAAAGTTGTTGTTTAATTTCTCACATGAGACCTACAGGTCATAGCTAAAAAGCTTATCTCCACAGTATCTTCTCAAATTTTCAGAAGAGATGCAAGTCATCCTTTTTGAGTTGCTCCAGCTGCAATCTTGATTTCCTGCACCCAACATAACATACAATTTCTAGTGAGAGATGTACCACCTTCCTGCAGCTTGTTTTTTAACAGCGTTCTATTTCCCCGACTTTACTCTGTACTGGCTGCAGTCCTTCCCCCTTTTTCAACCACACCTGTATTAGCAGATTTACAGGATTATAGCCTGCATTCCTATGAAACTGGGGCAGCAAGGACTTTACATCCTGCTCTGACATAACGGGAAGTATGCGCACGAGATAATGAAATTAAGAGCGTCTCCTGCTCAAGCAGACTGCCAGGATGCAAAGAAACCCATACCAGCCACCTGCAGGAGGAGTTCTCCATCTCCCTCTCCTCAGGGAGGAGTCCAGTAAAATTTAGGCATTCTGGCTGACATCCATGCTGACTTGAAAAGTACCAAGAATAAGCAAAGTGCACCGATTTTAGCTGAAATAAGCTGGAAAAACATTAAAGAAAGCTACTGACCTAGAAAGACAAAAGGCTAAATAATACAAAGTATGTTATTTACATAGCATAACAACACTCCTGGACAGACTGTTACCAACACTGTTCTGCTGAAATACAGAATTTAAAGCTAGACGAGGATGATTCTGCAGGATGAAACTAGTTTAAACCTCCAAGGAGGAGAAAAATCTCAAATTAGAGATATTTATATTCTACTTTATACTTCCTAAAGCAAAGAAAATTATCCTCACTGGCTATTATTCCTCAAAAGCAGTCAAATTCCAGGAAAAAAAAATAATCTTAAAATAAATTTATTTTCTTCTAGTGAAATCTCCGCAAGTTTCACTGAAAATACTTCAGCTGTTTCAGATAGGGGCTGTCAAAGTTTTAGAAAAAGATTTTGTTGCAGTTGTATGTCCTTAGTACGTGACACACAGCAGTTCAGGGGTTTGATCTTAGCAGATTCAGCATTTTGGGGACTTTGCAAGGCCATACATAAAACTGGATTATTAAAGCAACGAAATAAAGTCCAATGCTCACGATTTTTTTGGTTCAGGTAAAATATAATTCAGCAATCAAACAACTTCTGAAAAACTCTTGCCAGCCTAAGTTTCCTAAGTAAGTCCTGTTTGAACACACAGATTTTATTAAAAACACATCATTCTTCAACATAAAGAAAGTTTCACTCTCATCACAGATGAGAATGCTCACTGATTGCACAAAACTGCTACTGAAAAATAGCTTAAGACAGTAGTATTCTGACTGATAATCCTCCTGTGATTTGTTTATTTATAATTCAAGGCTTGTAAGGGTTCATCTTCCACAGCATAGAAGAAATGATGGCAAACTGTTTTATTGGCACCCTGATTAATAGTAGGATACTGTATCAAAATTTCTTTACACAAACAGTCACAGGCAGCACATTTATGAATTTCAGTGTTAACTTTTCTTTTTTTCCAAGTAATTTTGCTAAAAACTGCACATAGAACAGACAGCAACTGTTTTCTGCCATTGTTTCCTTCCTGGAGAACAGCAGGGACGATGAAATACCCAGAAAAAAATTCCTTCTGACAAATCATTCATGATTTCTTTATGTTCCTTGTGTATTGTACTCGGACACTTTCCAAGGATGTACAAGAACTGGCAAGTAATTTTCAATATCTAACTCCTTTTTTTTAAAGGCTGCAAACAATTAGAATACTATATATAAAATTACTCCACCCGAGAACAATAAGACTGCGCTGGGAAATATTTAAGTCAGGTATCATGGGAGGCAGTTTGTTTAGCCACAGACAAATGGTTTAAAACATTTTCAAGCGTTTAAAATGTAGTAATAAACCTGCCCAGCTCTTCCTTCAGCCTAGCTATCAGTTGCTATCTTTACTTGTTCTTTCACAGTCAGTAAATACAGAATCATTTGTGTGCTGAGGTTGCACCAGGATTCAGAGGGAAGAGAAAAAAAATTATTTTCCAGATAAATCAGTTCCACAATCCAGTCCACTGTGCAAGCTTTTATGTCCACACAGGCATGCTTGCATCAGCAGCTTTACAAGCTCAGGAAGAGTCTGAGCATGGTTTAACTATTGATGCCCACGGTCTGGCAAACAAACCGAATACTGCAGTGTTATTGAAGTAAAACAAACAGTGGGTCAGTGTTTATTTTCATAACTGCAAAGTGTGTATCCATTACACACCACTAACACAGCCAATTTTATCATTAATTCTTTGAAATTCAAGTGTAATATTACTACATTTTCTTGAGGCCATGCACTAACTCAATCACCCAGTCGAATGCAGCACTGAGTGGTTCAGAAATAAGACTCTATTGCTCATATTTCTCTTCATGGTCTGATCAGCTCCACTGTTCCACCTTTAAAACAGTTGCTCCTCAAGAAAAATATTGCTATGAACAAATCACGGATTTCAAAACACCTCCAAAGGAAACAAAATTAATAAGCATTGAAATTAAAAAGTTCTGTAAATGAAACTAACAGTTTGAACAAACAATAAGTTGTTTTCATATATCTACTGCAAATTGTACTATTCTGGAATTATATCTGCATTCTGTGAAGTCCAGCTGCAGATTCTGCATTCAAAGATTCAATTTTTTTGGCCAGAGTTTTAAATCTCCTGTCCTTGAAAGAATTCATTTTTATGCTCAATCATGAAATGCCACTAACTTCAGAAGCTTTTCAAGGAGCTCCCTATTTTTCTTTTTTAATCCGTATTTTGTTTCATGGTTTTAAAATATTGAAGAAAATCAGACAGAGCCCCTCGTCAAGACGGAATTCAAATCTACTAGTATTCAAAGTAATAAAACTGAGCTAAGGATGACACTCTACATCTTAGTCTGGGGCAGGGGAAAGTAATATTGAAGCCAAATTCCAGCTATGGATTGAATGAGCTTGATTCAAGCTTAACTGCTTTCCCAGACAAAGCTTTACCATTATCAAGGCCATGTTCTTTCCTAAGTCCTTGGTCTTAGAAAACCTCAGCTACAAGAACTCCTAAAACAATTTCAGTGTTACACTATAATCTGAAATATGTAGCACAAAAAGGAAACGTTCTACAGTTCTTTTAGTAGCAAGCCATAGTCTGGCACAGTATAGAAGTCAAAACTGCATCAAGTCAGAAAATTCCCAGTGTAGAAAGAAAACAAGATTCTTCCTGCACGTGTTCTCGCTCTCTCAGCTGCAGACCAAGATGTTTCAACGTGGAGGCACTCCCACATCTCTGTTCTTTTCCATGCTTCCTACTAAGTACTACCTACCTCATGAACTTGTACTAAGTTTTCCTATAAACAGAAGCAAGGGTTGAATGTACTTGCCCTCAGCTGGCACCTTCACAACTTCATTCTCTACAGCATCTCTCTATTCATCCATACTAATACCATTAAGTTGTTGCTTAGGACACTCAGCTACAACTTCCTCGTTCAAATGCTTATCAAAAATATTAATTAAAAAAAAAAACAATTGCCTCCAAACCCATGTAGGGTTCCACTTTTTTCTGAACTTTTCGAAAAATGCATGTGTGTTCACTTGGGCAAAATTTAAAGGAACAACTTAAATCATGACTTAAAAAAATTATCTAGCCAGAAAAGGAAAAAAAGTATCTTTGTGATTAACTGACATATTTCAGAAATTATACATTCATTCACAACTACATGAAAAAACTCCCTTCCAAGGTCACTCACATGAAAAATACACCAATAAACTAAAAGCATCCTCTAAATAGTGTATCTATCTAAATTCTGTATCTCTCAATAGAAACATGTAGCTGCTATTGTGAGGACTGAGGCAACCAAATCAGAAAAGCTTCAAGAATGAATAAGGACAGAACTCAAAATTACAATACAGAATTTCACATTGTGAACAAGAACAAGTCAACAAAAGCACATGATTACTGATGTCTCCCAGACAAATCTGGAAGTTCACTATCCTTCAAATAATACAATACCTGTTTTTATTTGGTTGTTTACTTTTGCAACGGATCCAGGGAGATTCCTGCAGAGGTTGTCTTGAACAGACTGGGCAGATGAAATAGTTGATAAAGTTGTATTATATCCCGCAGGAACATGCTGTTGAAGTGAATGAGGTACAGATGTACTCTGGCTAGAAAAAGCATTTGTCTCTTTGAACTGTCCAACAGTAGGTAGACTCTGAGAGGTAAATGTCTGCCCATACGCACTGCCAGCAGCCGCAGGAGGATAGGGAACATTAGGATACATGGCACCAGAAACCACGGGCATGGCATAGTGATCAGAATTAAGGGGAAATCCCTGAGATGCAACCGAAGAGCTGACAGAAGTGCTGTAGTGATTATCAAATGCTGAGTATGACTGCTGAGCACTCATATGTAAGTAAGATGCAGATGATATTGCTCCTTGAACAGGTCCGTCACTTGACCCCCCTGTATGGGGAGGAGTTTTGTTGTACAACTGTTGCGATCCCTGTGCATTCAACACAGTGCTACCCACAGAAGGTGTCATAACATTTTGTGCTGGTGCTGAATAGTAACCAGGGTAGTAACTGGCTCTATACTGATGATCCAGATGTGAAGCAGCAGCTTTATTGGGCACTTGGGAATAGTGTCCTGAAGGCGCACTGTAGTTTGGAGGATGTGAGCCATAGCCAGGGGGAAACTGCATCTGACTCTGCACAGGACCTGAAAGAAGAGAAGATGTCACATGCATTAAAGGTGCATCTGCTAGTAGTGCCAATGGACTCTGTACTTGAAATAACAAACAATTGGTTTCTCCTTGTTTTCTGTCACTATTTTTGAGATCAGTTCCCATCAGCAGCAAGAGAACAAACCAAGTATAATGCATGCAGATACAATATTTGAAATAATTTGCAAACACACACAGAAGTAGCAGTAGAATGGATTTCTTCCATTAGCAAAGGAGGTTTCCACGCCAAGATTGTTTGCCTCCTGCTTGTATTTTTAATATTTTTAGGAGGTTAATACTTAAACAAATAGTGGGCAACAGTAAGCACCAAACTGATATTTCTAAGTGTCCGAATACAAGGGTATGCCTTAAAGAAACTCCCTGAATATGGAAAATGAAAAGCTGCAATCAAACCAGTATGTAAATAAGTAACAATGGAGGTATTCTTCCTTACAAATCTTCAGTATAGTGACCAAGACTAAGTGCTGCAGGGCAGTTATATTTGTCTTTTATGTTCTTACATATTATGCTTTTGGGAAAACTGACTGTTATTTTTATGAAACTACAGAGTATTTGACAAAGCATGTCATTTCAGTTCACTGCCTGATACTTACATCAGGCATAAGAGATGTTGATATCAGAGAAACTGACCTCTGTTACCTCTACAACTAATTCTGCAACATTACAGGTTAATTACATACTGGTCCAGCAAGGGTCAAGTAAGTGCCTGTTTCCTAAAGACCAAATGTTAACTATGTCCAAGCTGATTTTCTCATGCCAAGTGATCAATGGTAAATCTGGAAGTTCTTCCTCATATTCTTTTCTTAACGCTATTTCTATTTTCTGGTGAACCACAAATGCATTTGTCTGGATAACTTACTTCCTGAAAATTACCAACCCTTATTGCTTACACCAAGCTGAATGACTACGGTGTTATTTCCCACCCCTTGGTCAATAAAAACACAAACACAGCACTGGCCCACTCACAAATTAAACAGCAGTTGGGGTAATAATGAATAGTTGACTACCTCCTTATATTTACAATGATTACGAACCTTAAGCATTTGTTCCCGTCTGGAAATTCTGAAAAATCACTGTTGTCCAAGTAACACCCAGAGGTCCTATGATTAACTTGCAAGGCAATTTTAATAATGAATTTGTTAACAGACCCCTATAAGCAAGGACCATACTGCTCAAAACTGCTTTCTGATAAAATTAAAAACGTCCTTTCATAATTGACAATGCAGGAAGTTGGGCAAAGAGAAAGGAACTAAAAAAATGCAAAACAGTAACTTGGACTGCTGGCTAAAAAACACAGAGAGGCATTTGGGAGAAAGCATAAGGAGCTTAAAAAAAATTACATTCAGAGTTTTGAGGAGAGCACGTAGCTATGCTTCTGATTCACCTTTTTCTTGAAAAAGTGGGAGCTACTCCACACAGCTCCTAGTTTTTTCTCCTTGAAAGGATGATTTTGAGCGAGCGGGTCATTAACGGCTACATGAACTTTGCCTGACTTTTGACCTGTTTTTTTAACGTCTAAAAGAGCAAACTCAAAAATACACAACTTATGTCTGTTAAGGCTTGCTGCTCTAAGCTGCTATGACAATTAAGGTGGCAAGAGAAGGTATTTTATCTGAGGAGTCTGTGCATTTGTTCTACTAAAATATGCAGAATAAACTAACTGAGCAGGTATAATTTAGAAACTGGTTTAGAAGCACCTGACTTCTAATAAGAGGTTGCATGTCAAATCATCTACTGCAAAGTCTTTCAGTATCTAGCTCTCATTTAACAACACACACAATAAGCAGAGATTGAATTATCAATACAAGATATCAGTCTCTGCATCTAGAATGCAGAGTCCTTTTTATTCACACTTTTAAGTGAAGAAATACCTATACATTTAAAAGCACACACGAGCATAAATCCCACAAAGACCTCACTAAGACAGGTGAGCCTAATATTTGAAAAATTATATTTCTGATTTCAAACGGCTGGTCCTTTGAAACAAGTTTTACAATTACAGATGATAGATTACTCCCTTTATTTGAAGCGAGTTTTTTGTCCATTTGATTATAAAGAATGTGAGCAGAAAGTAATTTTTGTACTGCAATTAGTAGCTGAAGCTACTAATGATGATTAGATAATTGGTCAGTTTTCAACACTGGAAATAGGGATGTACCTTCAGTATAATTTTGAAATCTGGTTAACTGCCCAATCCGTCATGACGTCTCAGGTAATCCACCCTCTTCCCTAAACACCTGACAAATATCTCAAAAAACTCCATGAAAGAAGCTGAAAAACTTAGCTGCATACAGAAGGTGTACTTCTAAAACATCATCTCTTTAACGAAAGCCGTGAACCTCTCCTGCTACAGACAAATGAATACTTTATATAATCTTATAATGTATAATTACATTGACATTAACAGGTGAACCTCAAAAACCTTAATATTTTTTAAGGGAGGGGAGAGCCACCGCACAAAAAAACTCCAAATCCCCACAAAAAAAGCAGCAGTGCTATGGCTATACTGCTATGTGAATTAGTAAATCTTTGCTTGCTAGTGTCATACCTGGTTTTTACATCCACACATTCCCTCAGCTGAATAATTTAGCCATCTGCCTCATACCCTACCTGCATGTAGTCTATGTGTCCTAGAGCACCAACTTCCTTTCTATCCAAGAACACCTGTTGGCTTTCTGAAACTTTTAACATCCCTTTATCCACCTCCAGAGAAGGCTCCCACAGCTTCCTCACATGTCCTTTAGTGGTGGAGAGGAGGCAGCACCGCTGTCCCTTGTCAACTGCCGGCAAACAAAGCAGCAAATTCAGCCACTGCTGAGCTATCCCAACAGCTCAGTCACCGAATTATGTCTACTCCTTCATTCACTCAGCTTCCCATTTCCACAAAATATTCAGGGATTTCCTATCTTTCACATCTCTATTCTCTTTACTAAATTTAATGAAACTATCCAAAAGATCCAAAGTCAAAGATTTCAGTACAGGATCAAACTGAGAATGTTGTAAGAGAGAAGGAAAAAATAATAAAGTACACACGAGAAGATAACTTAAAAAACCCAACAAGACATCTAAGTTATACTAAACCTAAAGTCTCCGAGGATCTCAAATGGACTTGGTCATTGAACCAGGCAAAACTTACTAATAACAAAACATCCTTTTTAATACCACCGTATGTAAAACAGGTCACTTGCTTTCTGCAAAAAGCAGACCCTCTTTCATCAGACTGTAGTAAACACAAGGCTTTACATGAAAAATTCACATTTTATGAAATTAAACATTCAAACATCCAAGAGGATGCACTAGTATTTTCCTTCAGCCAACACAGAAATAGCTCAAGTCACTTCAGTACTTTGGACTTAAACTCCATTATAATGATGTAAAATTAAATTTCAAAAGCAATGACAATCTTCTTTGTGAAATTTAGTTTCTATCAGACAGAATGGAAAATTCTACTACAGTCTTCTTCTGTTACTATTCCCCTCTACTGCCTGCCCTATTGTAATTAAAAAAAAAAAGAACCCTCAAATCTTGTGTTATAACTTCAGAAGATTAGTACTACAAGAAGACAGACACACCATGGAATGCTATTGCCAAATGGCACAAAATGAAAAATTCAGTTATTGACTACAAATCATCAAACACACACCACTAAGACATCTTAAAACCACAGAAGCCAAAGTTATACAATAAAAATTCAAGACTATTACTGAAGAATGTATAAATGTCTCAGAATTAAAGAAAAAGTGTTTTGAAGTAAACAAATGTCTACTCTCTGGTTTTATACAAGCTGTTTCTAAAAATAATAGCAGCAACATGGGGTTAATTAATTAAAACAACAAACAGTAACGATGGCTCTTTAAAATTACTGTTTCGTTAAGCTTAAAACCCAAAGAGAAGGTATGTGAGCTTCTATTTGTTTCTGTAAAACACACTTCCAGGTTATTGATGCTGTAGTAGCTGTATCCTGATAACAGTATGTTTTTTGATTAAAAGCCTCATAAATTGGCATTTTCTGAACCATTTTTACAAAACTCAGCATTACACTACCAGTTTGGACACAACCGGGCACTAGTATCTTAAAATCTACCGTTTAATTACCTTCCTTTTCATTCACTTCAGCGAACTCCCCAACACCTACTTTATAGGCATTTAAGTACTTATCACTTAGCTACCCCTTTGGAGATGAGAAAAATTCACGAGTAAAAAATTCTGTAGGTCCTTACCCTGCACACTGATCTGTTCAGAAAAAACACCTGTGCAGAATACAGCCAAGCTACAAAATAAAGGATTTAACAGTATGAGCTAGATCTCTGTTGCAAACAAGAGGCCAAATTTAGATACCAAACAAACATTACATGGAGAAGATGATCATGCAGGGATTTTGAAGACTTAAGGTGGTGTATTAATAAAGAACTGATCTTATAGTGCACCAATTTAAAAATGAGGAAGTGTATCCTCATTACTCTCATTCATAGCACAGCCAGTCTCACTACCTCTCCTTCTGAAATGCGAGTCAGTATTTTGTGACTTTAAACTATTTTGCCTTTGTTTTTCAGTGACCCACATTTCACTGGCCCAATGCTGTTCGCTCAACTCAAATTCCGGGATGCAGTTGAGTGAACGCCTACCCACCTACTACTTTTAAGTTCATAAACAGCTAGGAAGCGAGTACTCTCACCCAAAATAACGCGATTTTCTGCCCGTTCTCACGCTCTACAGCCAGCGCCGAGGCCTGGAGGTGCCTTGGCCTCCAGAGCATTCCTGAAACGCCACAAAGCAGGCGCCACGGCACAGGGCACATCCAAACCCGCGAGGAGAGCGAAGCGCGGATCCCCTCTCCTGACTCCCTGTAGCGAGGCGGGGAGAGGCCGCGCCTTCCCGACTTCTCCCCGCACGCAGCCGCGGGCCCCGCAGGGGGACGCGCCTTTCCCGAGCGGCCCCGGCGAGTCTCGCTGCCTTTCATCCCAAGAGCTTCGTTACGGGCCGGATCCACCGGGTCCGGGCCCCTCCCGCCCCGCCGGGAGGAAGAAGGGGCGCGCAGCCCCCCGGCACCCCTAGGAGCCTCCCCCCGTGCGGGCGCAGCGCCGCTCTCCCCGGGGCCGCTCCCGCCCCGCCGGCCCCTCACCGTTGTGGCAGTGGGGAGCGCCGCCCGCGGGGGCCGCGGCCTCCCGGGACCCGCCGGGCCCGGCCGGGGAAAACGCGGCGGCGGCGGGCCGCGGCGGCAGCCCGGCGGGCGCGGACATGTCTCCTCGCGGCGCCTCTTCACTCCGTCCCGCTTCCCTTCCCCTTCCTCTTCCTCCTCCTCTTCCTGAGCCCCGATCCACCGCCGGGCGCCGAGCGAGGCTCCGGGAGCCGCGGGAGGGCCCGAGCGCCGCGCGCGCCGCTGCGGCCCGGAGCGCCGCCGCCCACAGCGCCCCCTGGCGGCGCCTCCGCGGCCCGCCCGGCACAGCCCGGCCCGGCCAGGCCCGGCCCCGGGACGGGCTCCCCGCGCCCGCTCCTTGCGGGGACCCGCCTGTGCGGCGGCGAGAAACGGCGCGGCGGGGCCCGCCCCGCTTAGTCTGCGGGTGGTGGGGCCGCACGCCCCAGCAGCGACCCTGCGGGTGCGGGCGGACAGGCCAGGGGGAGGGTGTGGAGAGGGAGGTGATCCTGCCCCTCAGCTCAGCCCTGGTGAGGCAGAACCTGGAGTGCTGTGTCCAGCTCTGGGCTCCTCAGTACGAGAGACATGGAGCTCCGGGAGCGGGTCCAGTGGAGAGCGATGAGGAAGACTGGGGTACTGGAGCATCTCTCTTTCAAGGAAAGATGGAGGGAGTTGGGCCTGTTTAGCCTGAAGAGGAGACAACTGAGAAGGGACGTCATCAGTGTGGATAAATACAAAGGTGAGGTGCCACAGGGATGGAGCCAGGCTCTTCTTGGTGGTGCCAAGCAATGGGACACGAGGCAATGGGTAGAAACTATGCACACGAACTTCCACCTGAATGTGAGGAAGAATTTCATTACTGTGCAGGTGACTGTGGAACAGATTGCCCAGAGAGGTTGTGGAGTCTCCCTCACTGGAGATGTTCAAGACCCTGAGCGCAATCCTGTACAATGCGCTCTAGGATGACCCTGCTTGAGCAGGGAGGTTGGACCAGGTGTCCTCCTGTGATCCTTTCCAAACTGACCCATTTTGTGAGGCCGCTCCATGTCCCTGACTCAGGGCACAGACATGTACATGTACAATACACACACCTCCCATCATTTTGCCTAAGTTAGACTTTTCTATCTGTATACGTAATATATGCCATTTTAGAAATATATTGCCTGAGACAAGGCTTTTCTTTCTGTGTTAGGAGTGCACGCTGTGTATTCTCTCCCTCTCCACTGTGGGTACATGCTATATATGAGGAGAAGAAAGGCCTTCACAAGGAAGGGCGAGGCAAGATAAGGCAAGGCTTTTCAGTTTCTGTGTAGAATATATAGTAGATATTCTCTTAACAGGAAGGCAAGCGTTGGAGAGCCCTTGCCATGGTTTAACCCCAACCAGCAAGTAAGCATCACGCAGCCCCTTGCTCACTCCCCCCCACCCCATCCCAGTGGGATGGGGGAGAGAATTGGAATAGTAAAAGTGAGAAAACTCATGGGTTGAGATAAAGACAGTTTAATAGTTAAAGCAAAAGCTGCTCACACAAGCAAAGCAAAACAAAGAACTCCTTCACCACTTCCATGGGCAGGCAGATGTTCAGCCATCCCCAGGAAAGCTTCTACTTGGGGAGGGGACAAACGTCTCTCCCTTCCTTCTTCTCCCACCATCTCTATATGCTGAGCATGACTCCATAAGGTATGGAATATCCCTTGGGTGAATTGGGGTCAGCTGTCCCAGCTGTGTCCCCTCCTAACTTCTTGTGCACCCCCAGCCCCCTCGCTGGTGGGGTTGTATGAGAGGCAGGGCAGGCCTTGATACTGTATAAACACTGATCAGCAATAATGAAAACATCCCTGTTTTATCAACACTTTTTCTAACAAAAATACAAAACATAACCCATACCAGCTACTGTGAAGAAAATTAACTCTATTCCCAATTAAAACCAGCACATGCTCCCTTGCTGGCTACTGTTGACAAAGGATCTCCCTTCAATTTAACACTTTCCATAGCCAATCACACACTAAACCATATTAATTTTGACTGCGTGCGTGTTTCTGTCACCTATATTCACTTGTCATTCACTCAGACGCTATTCAAGATTGAATTAATTGCTCAGGTTATTTTATTAATTATGCACAGAAGTCGAAATCAGGATAATATACTGGCAATCATATTGTCAACACTAAGTCCCACAACACTGCATCACCTTTGTTACATAAATTTGATCAGTCCCTTCCCTGTTTGGATGCTGTTCTTCCTACTAGTTATTATACACGTCTGCTGTAATGCTTAAATGCTGTAATACTTTTTTAATTACTTTGCCTGTATGCTCAGCATATGGTCCAGCTCTGACTGTTACTGTTATTACAAAGCATGCAGGGCATCTTTTCGTACTGCAGGAACTGACTGTATTTTGAAGTTTCTCAGCCTATCAAACTATGTAGAGTTGTCTTGCGCAGGCCTCCATCAGTCCTTTGATGGATTGTAGATCCATATCTGAAAGACATAGTTTCTTCTTTATGACCTAATAAGGTAGGGCAAGAAATTATAGGTTCAAAATGCAGCAACGTTCAGGTGAGCTATTAAGAAGTAAACATTATCTTAAGATACTAAAGGACTAAGTGACATGGGAACAGTGTGACATTGCCATAATCGAAGGAGTCTTAACAGGGGTTGCACAAACATTTTGAGAGTCAGACTGTCAACCAGCTTTGGTGCAAGTGACCTCTTGAAATCCCTTCCAGGGCTATATTGTGCTGACAAATTCTGCTCTTAAAGTTGTTCTTCCTTCTTTGTAACCCATGCTTCTCCATCCCACACAAAACACTTGTGACAAATGAATGCATGACACCAAAATAATTCAGAAATATGGACAACAAGTTGGTTTGTCTTTTCATTTTCAGTGCTGTTTTATAAGATGTGTAACTGCTTCTGTGTACTGCAACTATATTTCATCACAGCATGCAACACGTGAATCTGTGTTTTGACAAAGGTTTTCCCTTTCCAAAGTCTCGTTTCTCTAATTCTTTTTACTGTGAGTCTATAAATATATCCTATATCACAATCTGTGAAAATTACACATCAATTTATGATCAAGCACAAGGAGTTATAGATCATTGTGCTAAAAGCAAGAGGAGGCAACTGGGAATTTTCCCATTGTTTTGAATGCTTTTACAAAACCTTTTACACAACTTAATCAATTATTTTCCATAAACAACAACGACACTGTGGTTAAACCCATTAATTCCTAGGAAATCCAGATGTGTTGGCAGTTAGAACACAAGCCTCTAATGGAAATCCACTGTAAACTCAAACCCATTAATTTTGTTTTCCTCATTTATAATGAATTTGAAAGCATTAGTAAGAAATGAGTATTAATGTCTGTTATTAATGCTACCATGCAACAAATAACAGGAGCTGTCTCACCTAGGCCATTGCTTCCACTTAGTCTAGTAACAAGCTTATTAAGGAGTAATAAATTCTTTGGCCACTTGATGAGGCCTAATTACTAATAGATTTATTTTGACCTCTGGTGGAAGAAACAATGACGCAAAAAAAGCCCCTCTGCCATTTGAGTTTGCAGAACAAAATATGAAAATGCATCTTGTTACCCATAATATGATAAAAAAGGCATTAAATGTCCAAACCTAGAAGATAAAAGTTATTTTTGCAAGGATAGAAGTCTGAGAACAAATCATTATAAACTGAGTAAGAAATAATTTTGAGCTTTAACATAACTAAGCCAAGCTTCTTCCACTTTGTCATACATTTCAGAAGGAGAATGACAAAATTAGGTGCTTTTATAATCTCCATCAACAAAATACAGCTGTGAGTCACCCTAGCTCACTAATAAATTTCTAATTATTGTCCTGCATTTCTATCAGGAACTGAGCCATTTTGGTGCAAAATAATGGGGCTTCACGTTTTCACAATCAGAAGTCTCCAGTTGTGTTGACATAATTGTATTTGCGTAAGTTACCTGTAGTCACTGCAGTGTGATTGCTTTCCAGAACGAGAAGGGCAAATCAAGACTCTTGATGTCACTATAAAGTGTGCCTCTGCTTGGGTGACCTCTGCATCTGGCTGCAGGATAAATCCCTGCATCCACTGGGTGAGATCTATGTTGTACTTCATTTGCAGCTGGCTAATTGGTAGAAGAGGCCCCGGGGGAGTCATGCTCCACTTTAAATAAAAATCTTTCAAACTTCTAATACATAACAGAGAACAAGATATCAGTTGTGATACCGTGCAGCTTTCTCACACAAGTGTAGATTTACTTTCCATGTAGTTTATTTATTATCCAGGTAACTCCAGAGAAGTTTTGTGTCTCAGCGATGAGCAGGACTTCCTTTTGCCCATCTGAAGCACCTGGCATGTATTCTGGCTGGGTACAAAAGACTGAGCTGTACTTATTTTTTGTGTTTTGAGGTGTTTGTTTTGGTTTGTTTTGGGGTTTTTTTGTGGTTTTGTCTTGTTTTGGGTTAGTTGTTGTTGTTGGGGGTTTGTTTGCTTGGTTGGCTGGTTTTGTTTGTTTTTGTGGGGTGGTTTTGTTTTGTTTGTTTCCTTGGTTGGTTTTTTTGTTTGTTTGGGGTTTTGTTTGGGTTTTTTTGGGGGGGGGTATTTATATCTGTAATGGAAAAGGCTCAGAAAGCAGCAGGATCTACCTGGCTGGGATTTCTTTGGACAAAGGCAATGAGCTCTACTACCTGCTACA